GGAAACCAAGGCAGGACCCCCGGGCCCCCTCACCACCCCCCACCACCATGTTGTCAGATTGAGAGTTTGAAACGTCAGGGCTGGGAAGGCGCATGCGGTTCAGAGCGCAGCCTCCCTCCAGAGTGCCCCGGAGGCATGGCTGCCGAGCCTTCCTTGAATTCTCCTGGGGACGGGGCACTCACCCCTTCTCGAGGCTCCCTGCCCAGCAGACAGGCTGCCTATGGAGAAGACTCAGCTGCTGGTCCTAAGGTTTCAGTGACCCCCCTTGCCGGCCACCGTCTCGCCGGCGGTCACCCCGAGGGCCCCTGTGTCCGAGCAGGTCTGTGTGTCTTCCATGCGCTCCCGTGCGGCCGGAGGGGCTAGTGTGAATGAGCAGCGTGCCCCTTCCCTTCCGGTGGCTCGGGGCTGGCGCTCGCGGTCCGCAGGTTTGCGTGGTAGACAGAACGTGCTTGGGAGGAGGCCCAGCCCCGCGACGCCCCGCTCAGGTCGCAGGTTTGGGGGACACCCCTGGAGCGAGGCCGAGCTGAGGTCACACCAAGGGCCGACGACCTGGCTCCCGCAGCAGGCGGCGAGGGACAGCGGCCCTGGCCCGGGGTGGCGTGGCCCCTTCCTCTTGTGCCCTGCGTGCCGCCGACACAGTCGGGGCGGGTCGGTCCCACTGCCGGGGGGGGGGGGGACAGACAGACCGAGCTCCCCGGGGACCAGGACGTCCACTCGCCGCTCTGCTCGGCCCCGTCCGCCCGCCCTCCGTCTTTCTGCGAAGTGCGGGTGCTGCCGGGTTCGTTTCCCCCTCGGTGCGGCAGCCCCTGGACCGAGGAGGACGAGGAGGAAAAGGGAGAAACGAAAACGCAGTGGGGCAGGCGGGGTGGGGGGGGCGGAGCAGGAGCCAGAGCCAGGGGGAGCAGAGCCCCGGGGGGCCGGGCGCCCCGGTTGCGTCATAGCATCCTGGCTTGGCTGTTTGTGGGAGACGCTCGGTGACCCCGGGAAGCTCTCTGGCCCCTGGCTGTCCCCGCACCTCGAGCTCCCTTGGTGTTTTACCCGAACGGTCCTGACCCACGGTTTCCGTCGTGTCCTTGAAGGCGCCAGGGGCTCCAAAGCAGGGCAGAGTGCGGTTGCTGGGGTCCGAGCAGAGAGGTTCTGGTCGTCACGAACAGAGGGGCCGGACCCCCCATGTGGACGGGGGGCGTCAGCCTTGCTGTGGCTTCCTCCTCCTGGGCTGCGCTCCTGGGTCTGTGAGATGAAGGGGCCCGGTCCTCACTCCCCACTGCCCTGGAACTGGTCAGTGGAGGCCAGAGTCAGCTGGGCATCCTGGGAGCCCCCTCCCCACCCCGGCCTGCTGCCGCCAGCTTCTTCCAGGCACAGGCCCCAGGGGGCGCTGGCTCTCCCTGTGCCCCCTCCCTCTGCGTGAGCTCAGGGGACCACCGGCCTCCCTCCTGGAGGAACAGCCCCCTGTGCTGCCCGTGCCTCCTGGAAGCAGCCCCACCTCCCTCCCAGCCCCCGCAGGGGCCCGGGGCTGAGACCCGCCGGCCTGGACTCGAGTCCGTCCGCCTGGCAGCCGCCTGTGACCCGCCCCCCCGCCCGCCCCGCTTCTCGTAGGCGCTCCGTCGGCTCGTCGCCAAGCCCCGTGTGGAGGGGGAGGATGGGGGTTTACACGCTTGTCCGGCCGCTGTCCGCGCCCAGACGGAGGTGTTTCCAGGACGCCTCCCCGCCCTCCGCCCGGCGCAGGAAGGGCCTTGCTGTTCCTCAGCCGCCAGGCGCCCAGGATCGTCCCCGGGCCGTGCGCGCCGACCCACGGGCAGAGAGGAGGCGCGGCTTCGTGGCTGGGGCTCGTGGCTCTGAGGCGGCGCCCTGGTCCCGGGAGAAGGGGTCTGGGGCGCGGAGGGGACCCTCCCCCAGCACCCACCCGGCTGTGGGAGGCGGGCGCCGGGCCAGGGCTCCGGGGAGCCGCGTGAGAGAGACGGGGCCTGGGGACTGGGGGCAGCCTGGGAGCGCCGTCCCGCGCGCTGGGGATCCATCGGGCTGAGGGCAGACGCCGGTGCGCCCCCGCCTGCGCCACCCCGCCCCCCCCCCCGTGGGGCCCGCGGCTGGCCGAGTCCGAGAGACAGGGGAGAAGCAGCCCAGAGGGAACCCGCAAATTACAAGTGCAGGGAAACCTCAAACGATGTGCAAAAAAACTGTCAAGGTTAAGAGAATGTTTCCATTCCTTTGCTTCATACCTCCGCCTTCCTGGTGGGGGCCATTCACAAGCTGGGGGCGCGGGTGGGGGCGAGGGGCCGGGGGCCTCCGAGTGGGGGGCTTGGGCATCGGGCAGCTCCCTTCAGGGGCTCCGGCCGCGGGTGGGAGCGGCGGGCGGCCTGGGGTCGGGCAGGAAAGCGCCGCTCCGCGTGGAGAGACTGGGGGACAGGGCGGGCTCCCCAGCTGGGCCTCTCAGAGGCAGAGCTTTCGTCTTTTGGGAAGGAAAGGGTCAACCAAGACATCTTCTGTCACCCGGCCAGCCAGCCAGCCAGCGTGCCCGCCAGGGAGAGGGGACATCCTCTGACCTCAGGGACCACCAGGGAGTAACTGCCCCCCGGTGACCACTCACAGGGTCAGGGGCTGGAACCAGGTCTCCCGGACTGAGGGGGAGGGACCGGCTGTCCCACAGGGCGGGCGGCAGGTCCCCGGGAGGCAGGGCCCCCCCCTCCTCCAGGGACACCCCGGGGCCGCACTGGGGCCACACTGGGTCCCAGACGGACCCGACGCCCCAGGAGCCCAGTGCCCGCTGGTGTGGGCTCGCGCACCGGCCACAAGGAAGGGCTTGAGAGTGGGGTCGGTGGGGTCAGCCTGGAATCTCCCAGTCACCCGTGGACGTGGGAGGCAGCAGGCTGCCCGGCCCTCGGCCTCCGGGCTTCCCTCCACCTCCCCCCAGAAGGAGAACCTGTAGGGCCAGGCATGCTCCGTGGGGTGAGGAAGGAGAGGGGATGCCAGGGGAGCCCGGTCCGTGCTGGGAGCCCTTGCTGTGGGGGGTCTGCAGGCGGAAGGCCCCGTGCAGGCCCCCCCTGGAGACACGTGAGGAGGAGCGATGTGGGGGGTGGGGGGGTCCTGGAAGGTAGGGAAGGGGGCCTGTGGGGACAGGCAGGGCCAGTTCCTCACTGGAGTTGATTTTTCTCTTCCAAAAACGCAGTGAATGCCGCCTACACCCATCTGAGTGGCAGCCCTGTCAAGCACACAAACACACCCATGTGCACACGCATGCACGCTGGGTGGCGAGGAGAATGGCCGTCCGTTAATCTGTTGGTTACCTGGCCCTTCTTCCGGGGGGTCCGGGAGACAGGCCCCAGGCCCCCGGGGGCCGAGGCCACGCGGCCCCCTTGAGCCGGCTGACCCCAGGAGCACCGAAACCGGGGGGCTGGGGGGTGACAGAGACACACACACACACACACAGAGATGCCAGAGAGACTCCCTGGCCCCGCCGGCACCCGTGTGGCACATGCTGTGGGGTGGGGACCCCAGGCGCTCCGGCCACACCCCCCCCAACCCCCGCCCCGCCCTCGGGTCACAGAGGAAGGCTCGAGGCGGCCTGGCGGGCGGAGGAGCCGCTGACCGCAGGCCCTGTGTGGTGGGCCTTTCCGATGGGTTTCCTGCAGCGGTGGTGGGAGGTGAGAGGGGGGGCCCCTCGGGGCCTTCGCACCCCCCCACCTGCCCACTGCCGCCCCCGAGGGCCTCCTGCCTCCTGATGTGGGTCCGAGCAGGCCCCACCCCTTCCTGGTCTCCCGGGGGCTGGCCTGGCAGTGGGGGGAGGAGGGGGACAGAGGGACCCGCTGCCACAGCGCCCCTCCCTCCCCCCCTGGGGCTCCGAGGGCTGCGGGAGGGGCCGTGGGCCTGGACGCACAGACAGACTACAGGCAGGTTCTGTGTCCCCCCCAAAGCTTTGTGGGGCTCTTGGCCACTTAGGAAGTGACTGTGGATATTTGGGGACCCCCTGAACTGTGTTATAAAGCACGCAGACTCTCTGGCCAGAGGTGTCTTCTCCCGGCCCCTGGGAACAGCCACCTTCCCCTTCCACTCCCTGGTGGACCACAGGGCCCCAGGGAGACCCTCCCGGGGACAGGCCGGGGCACCCAGAGCCGGCCTCCTCCGTTGGCACTGGTACAGGCCGCCGCGTCCTGCCCCGGCTTTGCTGGGTCCTCCCGTCGCTCTGCCCCCGCCGCCTGCTCAGCGGCACACACCTGCACCCCGGGGCCTCAGCACAGAGGGGGCCTCGGCCCCTTCCCCTCCCGTGCTCCCCAGGCCGGGCCGGGCCGGGCCGGAGGGTCACCCCGATGCGGCTGCACCGCGCCTCCCTAGGGACGGGGCTGGCGGGGCAAGGGGGGCCGCAGCTGCAGCTGTCTCTCCCTGAGCTGGGATGGCGGTCAGGCCTCTCTGTCCACAACGGGGCCGGTCCAAGGCGACCCTGGGCAGCTGTGGTGGCGGCGGCAGCCAGGCAGAGCCGGTGGCCCCGCGGGCGTGCGAGAGGCTGCGTGGCTACAGGCCACGGTGTCAGAGGAAACCTTCCAGTTTCCAGAAAACGGCGTGTTTTCTGACTCTCAGGGCGGGGCGCACAGGCGCCCCCCCAGGCGGTCCGCAGCCGCGCCCCCCCACACCTTCTCCCTCGAGGACGGGCGTCTGCTGCCCTGCCCCCGCCCTCCCCGCCCCCCCCCCCCCCCGTAGAGGGCTCTGCTCTGAGACCCAGCGGCCCAGGCTTCCTCACACCTGGGGCAACTTTGGTGGCGAGCGTTCGCGACGCTGGTGGCCCTTTTAATGCTGGGCCGGCGATCTGCCGGGTGAGAGAAGAGGAGGCCCCTCCGCTGCACGGGGCTGCGGGGGCGCCTGGGCGGGTGGGCGGGTGGGCGGGGTGGGCCGAGGGCCTCGCCGCTGACCAGATGCCCAGATGCCGAGCCGCCTGCTCCTCGGAGCCAAGCGGCCGGCCCCTTGGGAGAAGGATGCTTCTGACCCGCTTGGTTTTCCGTCTCCCCGGGCAGATCTCCGAGGACCTGGGCGGCGAGAAGTTCTGCGTGGATGCCGGGCAGGCCGGGGCCGGCAGCTGGCTCAAGTACATCCGGGTGGCGTGCTCCTGCGATGACCAGAACCTCACCATGTGTCAGATCAATGAGCAGGTGGGTCCTCTGCCCCTGCAGCCGTGGGGGTGCCGGCGCGCTGGGTCCGCTGGCCGCTGCCACGTGCTTTGGCCAAGCCCCGTCCCGCCTGGGGGCGGCCATCTGACACTCGGTCAGCCCAGAGCTTCCGGGAGCTCGGTGACACCCCACAGGGGCTCCATCGGGGCCATCGGGCCGGGGCCCAGCAGCCTGAGGGAGCCAAAAGCTGATGGTGTGTGTGAGGAAAGGCAGCCGGGGCTGACGCGCTCCGGGCAGGGTCCGCGCTCCCACGGGGACGGCCGCCGGGCAGACGCGGGAGGGGCAGGGAGCTGGGACGGTCTGCTTGGCGCTGCGTCGGAACACGCCGTGGAACCGGCCGCCCACGGCCCTCGGCTCCAGCAGGGGTGGCCGGGCCAGCCTGCTGCGGCGACTCGCTCACCGCGGGTGTCCGGGCCGTCCCTGGGCTGCCGACACCTCCAGCTCTGGCTCTGCATGGCCGGTGTCCAGCCCGAGAGCTGACCGGGACAGCAGGCCCGTGCGGCCTTTCTCGGGACCAGAAAGACGGCGTGTCCCAGCTCCGGGAGCCGCTCCGTGGCGGCTTTAATTACAAGCTCGCTCTGGAGCCAGGCCTCCTGGGCCACGTGTTGGCTGTGTCCCCAGAGGAGGGGGTTCCTGGGAAGTGGGGGGCCCCAGGCCCTTCCATCAGAGCTGTTTGCTTTTGCCCGTAATATCTTGGGGTTACACATGAGACTTCATTTGCACAAAGGATTCCATTGCTTTCAAAAATGTTTGCGGAGACCACATAACAAAAGGCACATTCTCGCCGTCGCCTGTGCAAACCATTAACATCGGCTCGAGGCTCTTGACGTTGGGGAAACGGTTTGGCATTAATAAACGGGGAGAGCACAGCCAGGGCGGTCCCCGGGACCCCGTGGGCTGGCGGGCGACTCTCCCGCAGCTGCTCAGCGGCCCCGGCGGGGACCAGCCTGCGCCGGGCAGGGCCCCTCGGGACAGCAGCTGGCGCCGGACACACGGGGCTCGAATCTGCCGCTGCTCCCGGGACATCCACGGCTTTTAGTGAGGACCCAACATTCTGGAAATAACTTTTTTTTTTCAACTGCAAAAAGAAACAAACACCTACAGCTACAAAGCACAAGAACACTCGTGAAAATGAGACCAGACCTTGAAAAGAAATTTCCTTCCTAGCTGTCAGTGAATGTTGAGCACAGGACAGTTAGATTCAAGGCTCATCGGAGGACGGTCTCGCCGCCCTCGGTTCGGAGACAGCGTGTGTCCGCGGCTGCCGACCGACCTCGCGCCCAGGGGCCGGGCCCGAGCCGCACCCCCGGGGCACACGGAAGGGAACGTCGGAGCACCCCGGTTTTCCCCTTCGGACACCGACGTGCTAGCGTGCCGGACCCTGGGTGAGGCCGGGAAGTCCGTATGTTCACGCCGCAAGCTTTTGGGAAAGCAAACAGATGTGTCATCTCGATGCACAGTCTTCTCAGAAAGCAGCCTGTCTCCAGACATCTTTGTTTCATTGTTGCTGTTTCAAGGGAGCGTTTATTTCAGCTCCCCGGCCGCCGGCCGCAGCAAGTGGGAAGACGGATTTGCCTGCGCCTTCCGCCAAGGTCAGGAGGGGCCGCGATGCCTCCCACCGGGAGGAACACCGCCCCCCACCCTTTCCACGTCTCTTCTGGTAACCCACGCCCCTCCGCCGGCGCTCGCCGGCCGGAAGCTCTGTCACGGCCGTGCCGGGCTCTGTCCCGGGGACCCCATGGACAGTCTCCGTGCCTCCGACGGCTCCCCACCTGCGGGTGTTTCTCTCCAACACGGCCTCGGGGGGACCGTCACCCCCACGTTGGGACACCGACTCGGAGCCACGTGGGGCGCGCATCCGAGCCAGCGCAACGCCGCGACGGCCGAAGCAGAGCAGGCTCTGCACCTGGAGCTTGTGAGCCGCTCAGCCCTCCTCGGGGGAGAGGAGCCGGCCGCCTGGAGGCAGCTCTGGACCGCACGGGGATGCCTGGGATCACGGGGCACCCCGGGGTCCCCCCAGCCCGCAGGGCCCGGGCTGGCGGCCGGGCCTCTCGGGGGCAGACGGGCTCAGGGCAGCGAGTGCCTGTCCAGCCCAGGGCACGGCCAGGCGCCCACAGGCACAGTGCCTGGGCGGGGGCGGGGGGCAGGCCTTCTCCTGCCTGGAGGCTCCTCAGACAGCCGCCCACTGCCCGCCCACCCCCAGCACCCCCGCACTCCCTGCACCCCCCCAGGTACCGCCTGTGCCCCCCATGGGGGTTCGGGGAAGACAGAGCAAATGGGACTTGGGGGGACTCAGCAAGTGTCCACAGGTTCCCCGAGGAGCCCCCCAGCCTGCAGCCTTCTTGCTGTGGGAGGTGCCGTCACAGAGCCCCCCCTCACCCACACTCTTCCTCCCAGGCAGCGCCAGGCTCGGGGTGCACGTGAAGGTGGCCGTCTTCCCCACGGACTGCGTGGACCCCACGGGCGTGGGACTCAGCCATCGCAGCCCTCCTCCCGGCTCTCCTCTTGGCCGCCACCCTCTGCTCGGTCCCCTGCCGCTCTGAGCACCCCCCGCCCCCCGCCCAGGGCTGGCCCGGCCGCAGGAAGGCCCACAGGGGGCGGGCAGCACGTTCGGGGCCGAGCGAGGGGCTCCGGCGGCCCTCGGGTGCCGGCCCCCCTAAAGTGGAAGCAGAGGTGGCTGATCCCCTTTCCCGGGTCAAACAGAAAACGTCTCAAGCGCCGATCAGCCGGCCGGTGACCTCGGGCCGCGCACGAGCCCACGCCATGCCGGACGCCACCCGGGGGCTCCCGGGCCGCGGCGCCGCCCCCCTATCCGCCCGGGCGTCTTCCTTCTGCTTTCGGTCTGTCGCCCCCACTTGGCCCCCCGTCGGCCAGGGCCGGGCGTTCGGCGGCGGTCCTCGGGCACCCGCCGCCCTGCTCTGCCCCGGCACGGGGACGGGCCCCTTCTGCCTTTGGGCTCACCCCCCCCCACCCCCGCCATGGTCCCGTAAGGGAAAGTTGTGCGTGGATGGATTGGCCCGTGCAAACGGCTGCTTCCAACCCACTGGACACGACTCTGCCTTTGAAAGTGAGGACGGCGGGGGTCCAGGTCCGCGCGTCTGAACCGGGCTCCAGAGGGCGGAAAAAAACACGTCCGCTCCGCTCCGCCCGGCCTCAGGAGCCGTCCGACTTCACGGCGCCGTCTTCGGAGCAAACGGACCCTCTCCTGGCAAACCACATACAAACCCAGCCCACGGCCCCGTCCGAAGACCACCCGGCTGTGACCGCTTCTCAGCCTCCTCGTCCTTCATCACACGGGTGCTTCACGGCTGGGCCCGTCCGGGGTGACGAAGACCACGGCGCTGTGACCGGTAGTTTACACAGAGAGAGAGACAGAGAGAGAAACAACACCCAGGTCCAAACCGCACGACCAACAGATGAGCGTGAGGACCTATGTTTCGTGTTCGGGCAGCTGGGAAGGCGGCAGGAGAATCCCAGGGAAATGTGAAGGTTTAGACACGAGCGGCCTCAGCCACGCAGACGCAGGAGGGAAGCCAGCGGCGGGTCAGACACCAAGCCTCCCCGTCCCTCGGCCAGAGGACGGGGCTGCCTTCCTGCCACCCTCCCCCGACCCGGAGCCCGCGGCTGGGGCCGACCCCCGACCCCCGGACTGCTGGGCCCTGGCCCGGCCCTGAGAGAACAGGCACCCGGGCCAGGCCGGGGGAGGCCCCCACCGCGGGGGTGCAGATGAGGAGGGCAAAGAGACAGAAAGGCCACCCCCGCCCCCCACGCCGCCCCTGCGGGACCCGGGAGCATCGCCTGCGCTGTTTCCCGAACTGCACCGGCTGGACCCCTCCGCCGGCCGCGGGGCCCCGGCGTCCGCAGCTCTCCCTGGGAGTCAGGGCCCGCCTTTGGGGGACACAGACTGTGCAGGTACACAGCGGCACTTCCAAAGTCCCTGAAGCAAGGATGCAGCGCGGGAGCCCACCTAGTCTCCTCGGTGTCCCCAAGAGAACAGAAGAGAAGGAAGGAAAGGAAAAGAAAGGGGAAAGGAAAGGAAAGGAAAGGAAAGGAAGGAAAGGGAAAAGAAAAGGCCCAGCCAGGCATGGCCCCCAGACGGACGTCCTCGCTCAGAAGGACGGGGACAGGTGGCCGTGCCGCTGGACGGCTCTGCCTGCACCGGTTTCCGTAGAGGGACCCGGGTTCCCCGGTGCCCCTCGCCCCGTGCCGCCGCCGCCGCCGGGAGAAGCCCCTCCCACGGCCCCGAGAGGCCCGGGGAATTCCGGCACCGCGGACGCATTTCCAAATCCAGGGCGGGGAGAGGTGGGCTCTGTGCGAGGTGAGCTGCTCCCCGAGAGCCGTCTCCACCCTCCCGTCTGCACCCTCCTTCGCAGCCTCTCAGGCTGGTCGGAGCGGGGCGGGCGGGGTGGGGGCGGCCGGGTCCCCAGAGCCCCGGCGAGCTCCTCAGAAAACTCGTTTGCCCCCGGGAGGGGCCTCGCCGGAGCCTGGGCCGGGTCCCTTCCGCCCGCGGCCGTGGCGTCTCAATGGGAGAATCCTGAGCTTAAGTAGAAATCAAAACTGTGGACCTTCAGTGTTTATATCAGAGGAGAGTATTTATCCTTGTGAACTGATTTGATATTTAAAAAAAGAAAAAGAAAACGCAAGGAGCTGTGCGGAGAGAGTATCCAAACTGACAGCCGTTGTACATGGGAACTATTTCTTTGTCTTGGAGAAAGTCGCGGGGGGAGGAGGATGAGGTTCATTTTCTTAAAGGGCCGCTGGAAACGGACCCACGAAACCCAGCTCTTCTGAGCAAGTCCTCTGCCTTTCGTTGGGGACGTGGCCCCCAGGGTGCGTCTCCCCCCCCCCATTCACCCACAAGGAGCGCCTCTTGTGCCCGGGGGGGATGACGGGGGGGAGAGACACAGGCAGGGCCCCGCTGAGGAAGTCCCGGCGCCCAGGGCCCTGTCGGGGTGCCGTGTGCCCCGGTCCAATAAAACCCTTGTCCCCACAAAGAGGCCGGGGCCCTGCAGCTGGGACTCGGCGTCAGACCCAGCGTGTCTGGTGGTGTCGTTTTCAAGGCCGCTGGAGCCGACCGTTACGGGCGCTGGCAAACTCGGCGGCTGCGGCGGCGGGTCTGAACCCGGGGAGAGACTGCGTCCCGGCCTCGCTTGGGCGCGGGGGCCCGTCCCGAGGCGGGGCCCGAACGGGGCGCACAACCCGGGCAGCTCGGAAAAAGGCAGGGGCCCTTGGATCTGCCCCTTGAGAAAACACGGGGTTTCCTTCCTGCCGCTGCGCCCGCGGGAAACGGCTTCGGAGAGCAGGGGCTTTCCCCTGGAGCCACAGAGCCCCCCTCCCCTCCTGGGAAAACTCCGGAGCTGGGCCTGGCCCTGCCTGCGGCTGCCGTGGCCCCGGGTCGCGGGGTGAGGGACCCAGGGACGGACAATGACAGGAAGGCGATGACGGGCCGACTCCCAGAATTTTAAGGCGCTGCAATGAGGTGCGACGGGTCCCGCAGGGCAGGGCCGCCTAGCACAGTGATGGCGCAGCTGGCTCCCGCTCCAGCCGGGAGCAGCCAAGCCTCGGTCCCTCCTAAACCCGGCCTTTGTCCCGTGGAGTCGCCGACCCAGCGGAGCAGGAACCGCGCTTTGTCAGCGCGTCTGGCTGATAAGGCTTTAGTGCCACTGGGGACCGGTCGTAAAAACGCCAGCAGCTTCTGTGCAGACCTCCACGCGGCTGGCTGGCGAAGACCCACCGGCGGCGGCGTTTGGAAAAGTTTGCGCCGATTCGCCCCTCCCCCAGGTGGAGGCGGTCGGGCAGCGACCCCCACCCCAGCCCCGCCTGGGCCCGGCGATTAACGCTAATAGAGATGAATTCCGTCTGCAGCTCCAAGTCCGGGAGGTCAAGGCTACCGCTCCACCGCCCTCCGGTCCTGCGCTCGCGCCCGGCCAGGCGCGCGCACGGGCGGCAGTCCTAAGGGTTCCCGGGCGGGGGGAGGGGTCGACCGCCGCGAGCAAACTGCCCCCGGAGGCCCAGCGTCCTGTACCCGCCCTCTGAGGCTCCGGGGCGGGGTCGCTCCCCGAGGATGCCAGGCAGCCTCGGAGGGCATCAGACGGAGTCCGGTGGCCCTCGGATTGGGGGTGCGGGTGTGGAAGGGTCCCAGCTAGGAAGGGGGTTGGGGGGCGGGGCCGCGGCGGCCTCGGAGTGCCGGTGGGGGCGGCCCTCGGAGGGGGTCGGAGGAGGCCCCGCTGCCCTAGGGGCCACCGCAGGCCGGAGGCGCCCCCAGAGGGGGTGGGGCGGGGGTGGTCCTGGGAGGCTGGTGGGCTCCGGGGGCAGTGAAGTGGGTTGACGGAGGAGGGAGGCGGCGGTGCCCAGCCGCACGAGCCCGGCCGTGGAGGGCGCCGCCGCCCCCGGGGCGCGCGCGCGCGCAGAGCCAGGATGAGGTCAGAGCGCACGGCCCACCTCTCTCGGTCCGGGGCCCTGCGGCGGGCGCGGAGGGCAACCGCGCGGAGCGACTGGGGGGCGGGTCCACATTGCCCCCTAACGGGGACCTGCGGGAGTCGCAGCTCTGGCCCCAGCCCGCCCTCTCTGCTCAGGGGCCTAGCCAGCCTGTGCGCAGGGACGCTGAGGCGCGGTCCGCGGTGGCGAGGGGCGGCGTTGAACATGCACTTGCCGACTGTGGGAGGGAAAGTGCTCGAGGTCCCTGCTTATCAGTCACCGACCCCTGACTCACCCACCCCCCGGCGCTCGGGGACACTGGCTGGGAGCCCCGGGCACTCTGTCGGCCGGATTCCAAAACCAGCGTCTCAAGTCCGCCTGTTCCAGAAACAATGACTCGGCCGCTGTAGTTTTGGGGATACAATGATACAAAGCCCACAGCATGTTAGCAACAGCTGGTTTGACTACAGAGGTTAAGGCGGTCCGGTGTCCATGCGGCACGCTAACACCCTGCCCTTGTTTTCCCGGCGGCCGAGAGGCACGGCCTGATAGAACGACCAATGCGCAGGGGCGGCGCGATCTCGGCCCCAGGGAGGTGTGTGCCAGGGCCGAGGGTCTGCTGCCGGCGGTTCCGCTGCCCTCGTGGCCCCGGCACAACACTCAGGGGGGTGTGGGGACGCAGCGTGGCTAAAGGCGCCCCTTTGTGAGTTCCCGGTGTCCTTGTGGAGTGAGGATGGCCAGTTTGTGAGGGAGTCCGCACCTGCACGTGCCCCGGGGGGTGAGCGGGAAGGGACCCCACACGCTCTCAGGAAGCTCAGCCTTCCAGATGCTTCCCAGGGCAGCTGCGGGGGAGGGGCACCGGGGGAGGGGGGCAGGCCATGTGCCCGCTCAGTCTCTGGGGCGCCTGACCCCTGTCCAGCTGCTGCTGGGAGGCCCGGTCTGACACCTGTGCCCCACCCCACCCCACCTCGCCCCGTCTCCCAGGGCAGGTGGGTCCCGCTCTGCCCTGCCCGTCTGTCCTGCCTGCCGCTGGGCCTGCGGGCTTCCGGAAGTTCCTCGGTTGCCGTTATCTGACTGGGGCCCCACGCCCACGTGCCGGGTGGCAGGCAGTGCGTGGGGCGGCCTACAAGACGCCCCTCTGTCTGACGGTCCCGGACTTGGGAGGCAGGGCTCCCCGGTGCCAGCTCTGCTCGCACGAGCAGTGGGAGCCCCCCGGCCGGAGCGTGCGTGTTCCCTGTGCTTGCCAGGAGTCAGGGGGTCCCAGGTGAGACTGGGAAGGCGTGGTCCTGCCCCCAGAGCCGCCCAGACCTCGGGGGCTGTCCCCTGGGCCCCGCCCCACGTGGGCCTGGCCACGCTGTCCTTCCGCGGTGCTCCAGTTTCCCGGCTCCCGGCCGCCACCTCCGGTGCCAACGGCCCTGTCCCAGGGGACGCACTGACCAGCTACGGGCTGCCCAGAGCACCGACCGAGGCTGGACGCTCCACACTGGCCTCAGCTGCAGCATCTGCCCTGAGCCCCAAGTTCAGGGACGTCCCCCGTCTCAGATCCCCGGTGGACGCAGGGCATCGAGTTTGCAGCAGGCACCACGCCCCTCCCCCGCCCCCCACTTTCAGTGGGGGTCCACACTCACGAGAGGCTCTCCGGGCCCCAGCCCCTGGGGTCTCTGTCTGAGGTCACGGCCACTTCCATTAACACCCACACTCACTGCTGACCCAAGGGCCCCCCCCCATAAGGGTAGAGGGCGTCTCCCTCACTCACACACACGTCGGCCGAAGGAGTCCCCTCGGGCCCCACCGCCGACGGGCAGGACACTCCCTGCTTCGGAACTTCGGGGCTGCCCCTCATCGGTTTAATGTTACACCCCCTGTACGCCCCCCCAAACTGGATGAAACACATGCGAAGAGGACTGTGGTTCTCCTGAGCACACCCCGCAAAGCCCTAGAGGGGAAGCTCTCCGGAGTGACCAGGGGGCCGGCAGCCTCCCCGGCCGGCGACGGCAGGTGTGCGGGGCGCGGCCCCCCCCCAACCCCCACTCCCTGCTGTGCCGGGTGGGACGACGCTCACCCACCCCTGCTCTGGTCTCTCCGCCCCAGATCTACTACAAAGTCATCAAGGACATCGGGCCCGGAGAAGAGCTGCTGGTGCACGTGAAGGAGGGCGCCTGCTCCCTGGGGGCCGTGCCCCCCAGCCTGGACGGTAAGCCCCCGCCTGGGGCCCCTCACTCCATGCACGACGGGGCCAGGCGCCCCCAGCTGCTGCCCAGGCGGGCGGCCTCCGCTCTCTGCTTCCCTGGGGCCTGCGAGCCCTGCCCTGTGCCCCAGAGAGCACTTCAGCCCGGGGGCCCGGGGGTCGTGTGGCACGCGCCCCTCTGCAGTGGCAGGTGTTCTCACAACAGTTGTTGTTGTCACGGACAGCGGCAGCGTCGTTGGCTGTCCCCGGTTTTGTGGCTGGGAAGCGCCCGCCTCCCGGAGAAATCTGGGCGCCCCGGGAGAAATCGCGGTCTCACTCAGGAGAGGACACCCGTGACGTGGGAGCCAGAGCCCGCCTGCAGCTGCAGGGAGGCCGTCCGGGAGGGAGGCCGAGGGTGGGTGCGTTCTCGGAGAGGGGGGCGCGAAGCTCTGGCCGGTCCTGGGTCGGGCGCAGCTCCGTCAGTTCCTCAGTCCCTCGCCGGGACTGCGGCGGCGGCTGCGCGGCGGTCTGAGCGTCCCTGTCGGGTGCCGCATCCCTCGGGGCCTGGCCGGTAGCACACGCCCCTCCCCCAACCACCCACCGAAATGCGGCTCCAGGGGAGCCGAGGAGAGCCCAGTCACAGACAGGCTAGGGTGCCCGGGACACGCCTGGGGGTTCCGGAGCCAGGTTCAGCCACGGAGGGAAAGCCGGATGGAGGGGCGCCCGGGGACTGGCCACTAACGCCCTGTGCGGATGGCCGCTTCTCTTCCCCTGAGAGCCCGAAGGGAACAGCAAAGCAGTCTCCCCCCCGCCCCGGCCGTCTTTGGAGCCCCCGATGTCTCGAGCCGGAGGAAGGGGGTTCCTTTCCGTCCGCATCGCCCTCCCCTGGAACACACCGCAGCTCAGTGGGTCCTGCCGCCGACAGCGTCTCCTTAAAGGACCGCTCCAGCGTCGCAGCACAGGGGTGGCCTGGGCCGGGTGCTGGGGTTCCCGGGAAGCTTCGGGGAGCAGGCTCCGAGCTCTCCGCCTCCGTCTTTCCGTTCGACCTCGAGCCAGACCGGCGGCCAGGAGCCCGGCCTCCCTGACGCCCCCTGGCCCGTGGCCCTGAGCCGTCCCCAAGGCGGCCGGCCCGGAGGACAGTTTGGCGAGCCGGAGCCCATCCGTGCTGTCCTTCGAGGTTTGGTTTTCATTAGGCCGTCGGGCAGAGAGAAATGAACGGCTGGGGCCGGGGTGGCCGGGGGACGGTCGCATTTTCCCTGGAGCCATTGTGGGGAGACCTGTGCACCCCCACTGGCGCCCGGACCTCGGAAAGCTGTTGAGAGGAGGCTGAGCTGGGGCGGCGCGCTCGAAGACGGGTCTTGTCTGTGTGGCGGAGTTTCCGTCTTCCAGAAGGTTCCAGAAACCTCGGTCCCCACTCCCCCTGCGGCCCCTGATCTTAGGTAACCCGAGTCTACATTCTCCTAATAATTTATCAGTCATTTGCGGGCCAATTGCCTGCCACGCATGATCGTCCGGCATCAAATATTTGCCTTTCCAGACTCTCGGCTCTCGGGATCATCTCCTGGGCCCCCCAACAGCACCCCCGCCCCCCGCCCCCCCGATTAGGCACAGAAAGGAAACGCAACGGTGTTCCTCACTAAGATAATCATCATAAAAATCTTTTATCCCGGGCCCAGCTCACTGCGGCGGCCCCTATCGCGGCGGGAATTTGGGGTGGGCTTTGCCCGCCTGGAGCCGCGGGGCGGGCGGATCAGCATGCAGATGCCTCGTAACTGTGTCCCCCCCGGCTCTCCGAGCCCCTCAGGCACTGCCCCACTTTTCTGTTACGCTCCTGCCCCACCATCGAAAGTGGCTGACGGCCCTTCAGAGAGGCGAGCAAAGGCGGGTCTGGCCCACGAGCCGCCGTGGGGGCTCGCACGGAAGGCGGAGCGTCTGCCCCAGCCGCAGCCCCCGCGGCCCCCCACCACCCGGTTTCCAGGAGGACACTGCCGTGTTGAGTCAAAATCATGTGCTCTTGTGGGGGGCGGGGGGCTTTGCCGGGACACCGTTCAGGTCACGTGGAAGAAACGGCGGCCCCGGCTGGCCACGGCGCTGCGGGCAGGTCGCCGGCGGCTGGCCTGGGCCTGGACTGCTGTGTCCGGGCGGCAGCTCCTCGAAGAAGCGGGTCCCGCCATCCTCCCCGTGAGAGCAGAGGGGGCGCCTTTGCGCCCACCAACTCCGGACATTCTGTTTTGTGTTTACTCTTTCCGTGGAGAGGGGAGAGGTTTCTCTTTCAGGAGACCTTTTTCAGGAGCTCTTGGAAAAAAGGAAAGAAAATGATGTCCATTCAAATGTGCTTTTCTTTTGAGAAAGGCTCAGAATTATTAACTCTCCCCCGCTCTCCACGCGAAGGGCAAGCGGATGCAGCGCAGTGGGTGGAAGCCAGGAGACTGCCGTAGACAACGTGATCCGATACAATGTAACACAGTGTAACGCAATGCGCTACAGTCGGATTCGATACAGTGTAACATGACATACCCGCACCCCTCCAGGCTCCAGTAAGACAGGATTGCTTGTGCTGGACAAGTGACAGCCGCCAGGGCTCCGTGCGCCCCTCCCGCCCCGTCCCGCACACCTCAGCTGTTCCTTCGGCGCCGGCCTTACCTGCGTGGAAGGTGGCCGGGACTCCTGTCCACACCCCGGCGTGGATGGGCGAGGCTTAGACTTGTCCAGTCCCCGGCCCTGTCCTTTGACTGAGCAAACGTGGACCGCAGCGGAGTGGGAGGCGGCGAGGGAGGGCGAACGTCATCGCCACGCGCGAGTGCCTGCCCCCCAGGCCCCCCGATGCCGTCAGACGGAGAATCAGGCTGCGGTTTCACTTTAAGTCCAGATTCCAGATCAAACGTAGGAAAACCGGTTGGCCGGCGTTATGGATGCATGGGGCTGGCAGTTCCTCTTTGTTTTCAAATTGCAACTTCTCCGGTTGCTCTGAGCGGGGTGCAGAACGAGGAAACCCAAGCCGGCATTTCCGACCGGATCGTGACGCCAGCGTGCGCGCCCGCCGAGGCCCAGCGTGCCCGAGAGAGCCTGAGGCGCAGTTCTGTGGGGTCCGGGCGTGCGCCCGCTCTGTTCTGAAGCGGGCTCAGACGTGCAGGGGTCGGAGAGAGCTCTGAAGACAAGGAAGGGCGTAAGGGGTGACAGCCGGTCCCCGACTCACACGCCTGCCTGTCGCATGGCCTCCTGGGGAGTGCCCGGCCTGCCCCAGGCACGCTCATCCTGGCAGCCCTGGGGCTCCCCCCAGCGACATCTGCCTGTTCCAAGGGCGTGAGCCGAGGCCGCGCGAGGCCAGGTGGTGCCTGCGTGTCTGAGGGTGTCGTCCAACCCCGAGCGGTGCGGCCGGCCTCTCCCCCTCGGGCGTCCGCACGGGAAGCTTCAGGGGCCCGCCGGAGGGAGTGCCCACCAGGGCCTCTACCCGTGGGCTCGTGGAAGCATCCGGTCAGGAGGGGGTGGCCCACCCTCTCCCTGCCCGCCCCCACCCACACCGCCCAGGCTGGGCGGCTGCTCAGCCTTCCTGGGCACTCGGGAGTGTCTGTGGTGGTCTCTCTGATGCCCGAAGGGGCAGGAGGTAGAGAAACCCCTCTGCTGCCCACCCCGCCCGGCCCCCCTGACATCTGCACCCTGAGGGCCAGGCCCCGCGGGCTGCGCTCAGCTCAGGGCATCCAGGCTCCGCCCAGTGCCAGGCCCAGGGGTCTGTGTGCATGCGCACACAGGCACGTGGGCACATGGGGGTACACGAGCATACACACATGTGCATGCAAAGGCACACACAACATGAGAGCATTCACACAAACACACATACATGTTCACACCGATGTATCACAAGTGCCTATTCGCATGCAAACGTGCGCTCATTTATACATGTGCACCGGCAAACACGCACACCTGACACATTGCACACAAATGTTTGTGACACATGCAACCCAGCACATGTGTGCGCACAGAAACACACACGCCCGGATGCCCAAGCACACTCATACACACACGTGGCATGAAGGTATGAAAACACAAATTTCACACACGTAGCCACATACCAAAGCACACACACATGCTCATACATGCCAGGTGCGTGTATGATGCATGCCAAGGCAAACGCCAGTGTGGGCACACAGACATGTTGGCACACTCGCACAGCTGTGGGTGCCAATACGTGGGAACAGTCACACACACTCACATGAATCTCTCACGGCACACGCCCCTGCACACACGGCGTGTGCACACAGGCACACGCCCCTGCACGAGAAGCACCCACACACCCACACGCGGGCTCGCCAGCTGACACAGGCAGCCCACTCGTGCAGGCATCCTCGGCGCCGTGCCCCCCTGCAGCCCTGGGTGGGGACGCGGGGCTCCCCTCGGCGGGGCGGGGGCCTCGGGAGGGGCCGCCGCGCTCTCTCTCTCTCGGGGAAGGCCGCGCTCAGGCGGCCGCTGAGATGGGGGGGGGGGGTCCGGGGCAGGGGGCTGGGCAGGCCGGAGGTCGTCCCCCCAGGAAACTGACAGCTCCGGGCCGATTGTTTGGCTTGGCAGGCCGGTCAGGATGCTGCCTCGTAAACTTCATAATAGCCGCCCCCCTTTTAATTTGTTTGACCTTGACGACGATAATTTATGACATGCATTAGAGCTCTGTCATCTTTCTTCTCCTGATTCATAAACAAAGCACTTGGCCCGGCTCCCTTCCCGAGCGAGCGCCGGCCTCCTCCAGCCCACGGAGGCCTGCGGGGGAGTGGGGGGGGGGGCAGTGCTGCTCAGCGCCTCTGTCCCTGCAGGCCCTGGGTCCCCGGGGCCTCCACATCCCCCGGGGGGCAGCCGCCCCTGGGCCCAGGAGCGGGGCGGGAAGGAAGCAGGAGTGGGGGCGGCCAGCATGGGGCAGGCTCCCCGGGCCCCCGCCACCCTCCCCCCGTGGGCCCTGGGGGCCAGGGTCGGGCCCCCCCCCCCACCTCCCGAATGCTCTCTCTTGCAGAGGAGCCCACGTTCCGCTGTGACGTGTGTGACGAGCTCTTCCCGTCCAAGCTGGACCTGCGGCGGCACAAGAAGTATGCGTGCGGCCCGGTGGGGGCCACGCTGTACGTGGGCCTGGCCGAGGAGCTCAAGCCCCAGGGCCTGGGCGGCGGGGGCGGCGACGGGCGGGCCCTGGAGTGCAAGGACTGCGAGCGGACCTTCCCGGACAAGTACAGGTGCGGCACGCCGCCGCCGCCCCCGCCGCCCACCCGCCTCCCCAGAGCCACCCAGCGACCCCGGGGCGGTGGCCCTCGGAGCCGTGACGAGGGCGGAGGCTCCGCCCTGGTCTCCGATGGGCCAAGGCCTCCAGGGGCAGGCGGAGCAGAGGGTGCCCCCCGGGGGCGCATGCTCGTGGGACACTGAGGCCCAGCAGGCCCACGAGCCCGCTCTGACCCGAAGGCCGGGCCCTGGTCCGAGCCCCCAGCCCTGAGGGGCCCACCTGTTGTCCAGCTGAGGCGCCGGGGCCCTGCCGCTCCTCGGCCCGCAGACGGGTGTGAAGGCGGTGGGCAGCGAGGCCGGCCCACTGGGGTCAGGCCCCCGGGCTGCTGCTGTGGGGAGGCCCGAGACCCGAGTCGGGGGGCAGTCACACCCCGCTGCCCAGCGCTGGGTGAGGCGGCCTGACCGTCCGGACACGCAGCCCGCTCCCCAGGCAGCGGGCAGTAGTGGGAAGGAGCCCCCCGGGGGCCCCCCGGTCCCCCATCACGGGTACCAGCGCCAGCCCCCCAAGGGCAGCGCCCGCCCGTCCCAGGAGACCCAGCAGAAGAGGGTGTGGCAGGCCGGGCCAGCTGTGTGGTGCCGGACACCGTCCCCGGGGGTGGGCCCAAGCTGGCCCTCCGCTGCCTGGGGCCCGGCGGGCCTCAGGGCCGGAGGACCCCAGGAGAGCCGGGCCTCCCAGGGTCCGCAGAGGGAAAGCAGGGGCGCGGGCCCCGTGCTGCAGGGGACGAGGCAGCCTGCTCCACCGCGGCCCCTCCCCTGGCCCCCCCAGGGCAGATGTGCAGCCCCTCCGGGTCCCCAACCGGCTGGGGGGGGGGCGATGCCCCGCCCATGGCAGCCCCTCCCGGGGGACAGGGAGGCGTCCACCCCGGGCGGACGACCAGATGACGGAAAGCCGGCTTTCCAGCAGCCCCTGCCCGAGGCCCTGGGCGGCCAGCACTGCCCAGGGGGGTCCCTGTTTTCTTTACATAAACACATAAATCACAATTAACGACGGGAAAGACACTCGGTCTGCCGGGCGCACGGGAACCGGGCGCTTCGGGTCTGAACGGATGGCTGGGCCCCGTAATTAGCGGGCCGCGATGTCTCACCGCTCTGCTCATGAAGATTAACAGGGGTTACCTGGGCCAGGAGGAGAAGCGGGGGGTCCCCCAGGGGGTGGGTTAGAGCCGCTCATGCATCCGGGGCCCGGCCCTGCCCAGCAGCCTCCCGCTGCCTGCCCCCACCCCACCCTGCCCCGCCCTGTCCAGTTGGAGACCCGCGCCTGCACCCCCGGCCGCCTCCCTGTGTGGGAACGGCGGGTCGGTGCCGCCCGGCTGGGCCGGCGAGCACCCCGAGGCCGCTCAGGGGTGGCCCCACTCCCACGCTGGGGCTCACTCTGGTGCTGGAAGTCTCTGAACCCCTTCTTCCTCCGCCCAAGGTTAGCTTCAAGGTTAAAACTGTCCGGAAGAGAGGCCAGGAAGTGTGGGCTGGGGACCCCTGGAGGGTGGTTTTGGGTGAGGGCCGCGTCCTCCCCTCCCTCCCAGGGGTGGTGCAGAGCGGGATGGGGGGGGGGGTGGCACGGACAGACGCCGCCAGGCCTGGCTCCGACCCCGCGCCCCCCCCCCCCGCCCCCGCGCAGCCTGGAGCAGCACATGGTGGTGCACACGGAGGAGCGCGAGTACAAGTGCGACCAGTGCCCCAAGGCCTTCAACTGGAAGTCCAACCTCATCCGCCACCAGATGTCCCACGACAGCGGCAAGCGCTTCGAGTGTGAAAACTGCGTGAAGGTACCGTGCCCGCGGGCGCCCCCCCCCGGCCCCGCCCCATCTCCCCGGGGGGGCGAGTCTCTCGGCAGGCCGGCCGGCCCCAGGGCTGGGAGGGGAGGGGGCCGAGGGGGCCGGCCCGGGCCTCCCCCGTGTCCACCTCCGAGTCCCTCCTCACACCACGTCACGGCGACGGAGCCCTCTGGCCGGTTGTTGTCCACGACCCGGCGTCGGGGGAAGCCTCGCCAGCTCCCCCAGGCCGCCCAGGGGCTCACGGCCACCGCGGAGACCCACCCCGGCCGGGCCCGGGGCTGGGGCCGAGGGCCGAGGGAGGCCCCGTCCGGCGGCCGTGGGGACGGGACGGGCGGGGCGCCCACGGCCGGCCTCCGTGCCCTCAGGTGTTCACGGACCCCAGCAACCTGCAGCGGCACATCCGCTCCCAGCACGTGGGCGCGCGGGCGCACGCCTGCCCGGACTGCGGGAAGACCTTCGCCACGTCCTCGGGCCTCAAGCAGCACAAGCACATCCACAGCACGGTCAAGCCCTTCATATGTGAGTCGTCCCCGCCGCCCCCCCGGGCCCCGCGGGGCGGGCAGGGCCGGGCGGGGGGCGCGAGGACCCCCGTTGGTCCCGAGGCCGCCTCTCCGCGGCTTTGCGCCGTCTCACCTTCTCCTCTGGTGACTCGGCTCTCTCCCTCCGCCCTCTGGGCCTCCTCCCTGCCGCTCAGCCCTGCAGGGGCTGAAGGTGCGGGCGGGGATGGGGAGGGGTCAGAGGGACTGGGCAATAGTCCTGGGTCCCGCGGCAGGAGCCAGCAGCCGCCCTCCCCGCCCCCACCTCTCCCTGTGCTCACGCCCCAGCCCCACGTGAGCCCCAGGAGGCACGACAATCCCGGTGACACTCACCGGGTCCCACGGGGAAGCCGTGTGGGCGGCAGGGCCCAACATGCTGGGTCCCCATTCACACCGGCTCTGTGCTGAGTCACCATTCACACCAGCACTGGGCTGAGTCCCCGTTCACACCGGCACTGGGCTAAGTCCCTGTTTCACACGCATCATCTCACGGGCCCTCACGAAATCCTGGGAGCGGGGTCTGCACCGTTTCTAGGGCCCAAGCAGGGAACGGAAGCCCCGAGACCTGCGGGGCCAGGAGCGCCAGGCCCTGCGGCGGAGCCCCGGTCCCGGTTCGAGGCCGCAGGCTCTGGCCCCGCGGGCTGGGCGGCCGGGCGCATCTCAGGCCCCGTTGCACCAGTATCAGGAGGGGCGACCCTGGGGGCCTGGGGAGTTGGGGTCTGGGTGTCCTCGCCCTAGTGGGGGTCGTTCAGTGTGTGCGCGTGGCGGGGGGTGGGCACACTGACCTGCCCCCAGCCCCCAGCCCGCGGGTGTCAACTCTGCGGGCCATGTCCTGCCCCCAGGCCCTGGCGAGAGGACGCCCGAGCAGGGGGCGAGCGGCCCCCACTCTGCCCCACGGTGGGCGCGGTGACCTCTGCTGGGCCCCGGGGGGGAGCGACCAGGTGGGTGGCAGTGAGGCCGGGGGCCGTGGCTGTGCAGTGGGAAGCATGTCCCACTGGGGGGGGGGTGCGAGCACACCCCGCAGGGCTGGGGGTTTTCAAGCTGAGAAACAGGAAAACCTCGCGCAGGCTCGTGGGGGTGGCCCCGCTGGGCACGCCCCCGCCCCCGGCCAGCCCCCCGCCCCCCTACAACCCCGCAGCTCAGCCCCGAGCCCCCGCCTCGGGGCCCGCACGGACCGAGGCGGCGCGGCTCCCGGGCGGTGTCTCCGCGTAAGGGCCGGGTGTGCGTGCGTGCATGCGTGTGTGTGCATGCGTGCGAGGGAGGGAGAATCCGGGCTCCCGGGGGACGTCCCCTTGTGGACACTTTTCAGACAAGGACGTTATCTAGATAAGTGAGTGCAAATGCGTGTGGGCGTGAGTGTGCGTGTAGGGGCCGGGGGCGTGGCTGTGAGGACACTTGCATGGGCGTGTGTGTGAGTGTGACTGCGTGTGAGTGTGCACGTGTGCACGTGCTTGGGCAGGTGATGGCTCATGTGTGTGCATGTGGGTGTGGGGGTGTGACTAGATGTGAGTGTGCACGTGTGTGCGTGTGGGTGTGTGTGCGTGAGTTGGTGACTGCATGTGTGGGAGGGATGAGCGCGTGTGCACGGGTGTGTGGGGAGTGCACCCACCTGCGCACCCTTCACGGAAAAGAAACTGAGGCAGTGAGGGTGAGCCAGGGCCCCCTGCACCCCGGCAGGGCCTGGAGCCACCCTCCGACAGGTGCGGGTCCCCACGTCCTCGGGTCTCGCTCGGTCCCCGAGCAGTCACTTCTGCTGGCTCTGAGCCAGCTGCCAGCTGTCTGGGGTCTGGGACCTCAGGGTCCTAGGGGCCTCACCGTAGCCCCCCCATTTCAGCAGGACCCCTCCATCGTGGGAGCAGGTGGGCGGGGACCGGGTACCCCAGGCCCCAGCGCCCAGGCACCTGTCCAAGCTCAGGATGACAGCGGCCTCTAAGGGGGCCCTGGCAGCTGCCCCCAGGGTCAGGGACACAGCGGGGCGTCCCGTGTTCTGTGCAGCCAGGCCTGAGCTGAGGAGGGCCTTGCCCGCCCTCCCCCGCCAGAGCTGGGCGGGGGACCTGAGGGTGCTTACAGACGCCCACGGGGGCACCTCGCCCCACGGCGGCGGCCTCCCAAGGGGGCAGACTGGAGGCGGTGAGGCGGGGCTCCCCCCCAGCGGCCCTGAGAACGCCTCGCGGGGCGGGCGACCAGGAAGGCGGCGCGGCTGATACAAGTGGAGACACTGTGACTGGAGAACAGGACCCCGGGGCCCCGGCTCGCGGGGCGTGACGTCAGGGCGGCGGGCATGGGCGGCGAGCAAGACACTCGCTGATCTCCTCGTTGCGCCACGGCTGCATCGAGGACACAAACTGTGGGGCAGGGAGAGACTCCCGTGGGTGGGGTGGGGTGGGGGCTGCTCCCGCCGCTGCAGAGACGGGAGGAGGAAGAGAGGCTGCTGATGCATGGACAGCAGCTCGCAGGCCATCGGGGAGATGGCTGAGACCGGGCCCCCTGGGCCCCGGGGTGCTGGGGCTGGGCGCCGGCGGGCACCCTCCTCCCCTGTCAGAGCGGAGCCCGGCGCTGGCTCTTCACCCAGTTTGGGGAGGGTCCACTCTTCCCCAGCACGGACCCAGCCCCTCTCTGCAGGGCCCTGCTGGGCCTTCAGTCCCACCCCCACCTCAGGCCACCCCCAAACAGCGACCACACGCACCCGGGGCCTGGACTCCCCAGCTGAGAACCCCTGCGCGGGCCGGGGTTCTGAGACCGCTGTCTCCTGGGGGTTGGTCGCAGGGCCCGGGGCAGAAGGAGGGGACGGGGAGCTGGGCACACTGGGAACGTTGGGACACAGGCCACCTGTGGGGCGGTCAGGGTCACCCCTTACGCTGCGGAGCCGCATCACGGGCACGGGCAGGAAGGGAGGCACAGCAGCCAACGTGGCTGCGTGACCTTGGCCACGGGAGCGGTTCGGGGGACCTGGGCCCCCACGGCACAGACACTCAGGGAGCAGGGAGTGAGCGGCGGCACCCCGTTTCCCAAAGAGGGTTGGAGCCTGTCCACACTGCAGGGCACCACAGGGCCCCCCTGGTCCTTGTCAGCTCGTGCTGGTGACCAGAGGCCAGCCCTAGGGTGGTGTGTACGTGCACCTGTGTGCATGTGTGGACATGTGTGTGCAGGTGTGCACATGCACACTCCGGCACATGCACAACGTGCAACAGACACGCAGAGATTCACACGTGTGTCACACATCACATGACACACTGTGCATGAGTCTGGACACATGTGCACGCACGCACATACACGCTCACACACATGCGCCGGCCGCTCCGATCCCCAGAAGCGTCAGGGCGCCCGACGCCCCCCCCCCCGCGTTGGCGTTTCCCGGTAATTTCATAGCGTGTCTGTCTGCTCTCTGCTGGCGCTCCAGGTGAGGTCTGCCACAAGTCCTACACGCAGTTCTCCAACCTGTGCCGCCACAAGCGGATGCACGCGGACTGCCGCACGCAGATCAAGTGCAAGGACTGCGGGCAGATGTTCAGCACTACCTCCTCCCTCAACAAGCACCGGCGCTTCTGCGAGGGCAAGAACCATTACACGCCGGGCGGCGTCTTCTCCCCGGGCCTGCCCTTGGCCCCCGGCCCCCTGCTGGACAAGGCGAAGCCGCCGCCCGGCCTCAACCACGCCGGCCTGGGCTTCGGCGAGTACTTCCCCTCCCGGCCGCACCCGGGCGGCCTGCCCTTCTCCGCGGCGCCGCCGGCCTTCCCCGCGCTCACGCCCGGCTTCCCCGGCATCCTCCCGCCGTCCCTGTACCCCCGGCCGCCTCTGCTACCTCCCACGCCGTTGCTCAAGAGCCCCCTGAACCACACCCAGGACGCCAAGCTGCCCAGCCCCCTGGGGAACCCGGCCCTGCCCCTGGTCTCGGCCATGGGCAGCGGCGGCGGGCAGGGCGCGGCGGCCGCCCCGGGGCCGGAGGACAAGTTCGAGGGCCGCCTGGAGGACGCGTACCCCGAGAAGCTGGCGTCCCGGGGCAGCGACCTGTCGGACGGCAGTGACTTCGAGGACGTCAACACCACGACCGGGACGGACCTGGACTCGACCTCGGGCTCGGGCTCCGACCTAGACAGTGAAGTGGAGAGCGAGCACGACAAGGCCAAGGCCAAGAGCAAGGCGGCCGGGGGCAAGCCACACGGCGGGGGCGGGGCGGCGCCCCCGGGGGCCCCCAACAGCGTGGGCGAGGTGCCCGTCTTCTACGCCCAGCACTCCTTCTTCCCGCCCCCCGACGAGCAGCTGCTGGCCGCGTCCGGCGCTGCGGGCGACTCCATCAAGGCCATCGCCTCCATCGCGGAGAAGTACTTCGGGCCAGGCCTCGTGGGCGTGCCGGAGAAGCGGCTGGGCGCGCTGCCGTACCCCTCCGTGTTCCCGTTCCAGTTCCTGCCCGACTTCCCCCACGCCCTCTACCCCCTGGCGGACCGCACCCTCGCCCACAGCCTGCTGGTCAAGGCCGAGCCAAAGTCACCCCGGGACGCCCTCAAGGGGGGCGGCCCCAGCGCCGAGTCCCCCTTCGACCTCACCACCAAACCCAAAGAGGCCAAGCCCCTCCTGCCGGCGCCCACGGCGGCCCTGGTGCCGGGCGAGGAGCAGCCGCTGGACCTCAGCATCGGCAGCCGCGTCCGCGCCAGCCAGAGCGGCGGGGGCGGCGGGCGCGAGCCCCGCAAGAACCACGTGTACGGGGAGCGCAAGCCGGGGGCCGGCGAGGGGCTGCCCAGGGCCTGCCCCGCGCAGCTGCCGCAGCAGCCGCCCCTGCACTACGCCAAGCCGTCGCCCTTCTTCATGGACCCCATCTACAGGTATCCACACGCCCCGCCTCCCGCTCTCCCCCGGGGCCGGGGGGGGGGGGGGGCCGCCGCGGGGCGGACAGCAGGGTGGGCGCAGCCTGCGGGGCCAGGCTCTCGTGCCGCCACCCCCACCCCCAGGGCCATCCCTCTGCCTCGGCTGGGCCGGAGCCGCCGGGGCTCAGGGGGTCAGTGCCGGAGCCCGAACCTGGTGTTCCTGGGCTGGGCGCCTGGCTAGGCCAGGTGAGGAGGGCAGGGCCGGGCCTCCTGGACGTGCGTGGTCCCCTTTTGCTGGCGGCCCCTGGGCTACCCGCTGGGCTGACTGAGCGTCTCCCGAGCCCCCTGCTGGCCCCACCCCGGGCCCCCTTCTGTCTCCAGCGGTCACCTCTGCACCACCCCTGCCTCCCACAAAACTTGGGTGCGCTCTGTCTCCTCTGCTCCCGGCCGCCCACCCCGCTCATCACAGCCACAGCCGGCTGTTCCTGGCAGCCCCGGGGAGGCAGAGCAGCAGCCCCTTGGCCCCCCCAGGGGAGAAGGAAGGCGGGGGAGGCAGGAGGAAGCTTGGGAGGCTTTGCAGGAAGTCAGTGTCTCTTGACTCAGGTGGCCTGCCCTGGGAGGGGCCCGCTTCACCCCTGTGCCCGGTTTCTGGGGGGGCTTTGACCGGTAGGTTTGCTGGGTGGGAGGGGGCTGGCCCCCGCCGCGCGTCCCGGGGAGCTGGGCAGCGGAGCCCTGAGGAGAGGGCTGTGCCCGCGGGCGGCTGGGGACGGAGCCTGCAGTGCGGGCAGCGGGCCAACTTGGGCCCCGCCCCGCGTGCAGAGGCCCGTGTGCCCACGCGTGTGCACGCACGCCCAGGAGCAAGTGAGCACTCGGCGGCCCCGAGGGCCGGCCAGGGCCCGGCACGGGCGTGCCGGTGAGGCCGCCGCTGTGAGGGGGCACGCGGGAGAGAGGAGGCCCGTCAGGCAGAGGTGCCGGCGAGGGGTGCTGGGGGGGGGGGGTGCCGCACTCGGTCCGCCTTCTTGCCCACTCGGGGCGCCCTGTGCGGGCCGGCTGCCGCGGGACAGAGACCAGCAACGAGGCCGGAGGAGAGATGGGGACACACCACACCGTCCTCCTCCCCCTGGGGTCCCCTCCCTCCCGGCCCTGCAGGGTCCCCTGGGAGGCCGAGTCCGACCCCCAGTCCTGCTCCGGCCAGGGCCTTGGTCAGACCCTCCGAGCCGGTCTCCACAGCCCCCCACGGGGTGACCTCACTCCTCCGGGAGCCCGGCCATCCCAAAGCAACCCTGAGGCTCCCCGGCTTCTCCCTCTGGACCGGGCTGGGGTCTCATGGAGTCACCTTCGAGGGGTCCTGCCCCTGGGGCTCCCGGGCCAGCCCGGCAGCCTCCTGGCACTCGGCCCCCTCTCCTGTGACTGTCCCCTGTCCTGCTGCGGTCCGAGTCCCAGCCAGTCCCCTGGAGGGCGGAGTCACAGATAGAAGCGATGGGAGTGTGGCCCCAGGCAAGGCCCCCGCAGGAGCAAAGCCGGACCCGCTGGGCTGGAACTCGTGCCTTCGAGGGGCTGCGTCTGCGTGGGGGAGGGGACCGCCTCTCCCCCAGGCTGAGGCTGCATCTCAGGCCCGCAGGGAGGCTGGGGCCAGCAAGGCTGGGAGCGGTGAGAGGACTGCGGGTGGAGGGTGGAGGGAGGATCTCTGGACGTGCCCCGGCCACCTCCACTTATCCCGTGACCAACAAAGTTGTCAGTGGCATTTGGCCGCGAGTTTTTGGGTAGGACCCTGCCTGGCTTCATGAGGTGGCCGTGGTGGCTTCCCCGGTTAGGCTGAGTGCCTCATGCTGGAGGGGCAGGGACGTCGGGGTGTCCGTGGCTGCTTCCCCCACGCTGCACGTTCTGCGGCGACAAGCCAGGGACCAACCTGGGCTGGGTGGGCGCACTGGGGGCCACAGGAAGGGTCCTGAGCTCTAGCACGTAGTGTCACACGTGCGGGGCGCCCGCAGCTGGCGTGGGTGGGGGGACGCGAGAGAGACCCGGAGGGGCCCGGAGCTGGGCGTGGAGAGGGCAGGGCGTGGGGCGAGGGCGCCTCAGGCAGCGGGCCGGGGGCTCATGGAGGCAGTGGGTTGGCCAGGGCAGGATGTCCCCAGGCCGTCAGGCGAGACGATCATCTGGGGGCCGTGGACGCAGGCCTGCCGTGACCAGGCCCCGGCCTCGAGGCCGTTGGGGCCAGACAGGGGCCCGGCGGGGCCACTGGGGGGGTACGTAACCCTCTGTGTTGCCGTCCAGCAGGGTGGAGAAGCGGAAGGTGCCGGACCCCGTGGGCGTCCTGAAGGAGAAGTTCCTGCGGCCGCCCCCTCTGCTCTTCCACCCCCAGGTGAGGCCCCCGTGCGGGGCTGGGCTCCGGGGGGGCAGGAACCCCATGCCCACAGGGGGGGCGCACCTTCCCCACCTGCCCGTCAGACCCCCAGCGTTCTCCCCCTGCGGACTCCACGCGCCACCGGCCAGGATGAGTGAGGAAGAGGGTGGTCCTCCGAGCGGGCAGCACTGTGGGGCCCTCGCAAGCAGCTGAGGGTCCCGGCCCACGGGGTCCGCCCGCCCCTGACTCGGGCGGTAGGAGGGGCATGACCCTCAGCCTCTGCAGGGCGGTGGGCAGAGCTCTGAGGGGGGAATCCAAGAACTGTGAACGTAGGAGGAAAGACAGCAGCCGCAGAAGGGGGTGCAGTGGGGGTGCAGTGGGAGCAGGCCTTCCCGGGGGACGCAGGTCTGGAGGGTGCTTGGGCAGATGGACCGGGAAAGGGTGGCCCCTGTGTGCAGGGGGGCAGAGCAGACCTGAGGAAGCAGGGCCAGAGGCAAGCAGAGGGTCCCAGGAGGTGGGGGCAGGAGGGGCACCCTCCCTGGCACCTCCCTGACCCCCTAGGCTAGAGAGGGTGGTGAGGCCGTGCGCCAGACTGGAGCGTGGGTCTGGGCAGGGGACACCCACATCTGCCCCCTCCCCTCCCCCACCAGGCCTGCAGGGGGCGGGCACAGAGAGGCTGCAGGGCCGGGGGGAGTCTCCCAGTTCCCCGCCTACACGCCCACTGGTCCCACCGTGTGGGGCCCAGGCCCCCAGAGCCACAGCCCCCCACCCCCACCCACCACCTGGGCCCAAGGTCCGGGCGACCGAACCGTGGTGTGGGCCAGACCGGCACCCCAGACGGGGAGTTGTTCTCCGCCTGGGAGCCCCCGCCTCAGACACGCGGCCCGGGCTATGAGACCTGCGCCCCGCCCGGGCTCACAGCTAAACTTAGAGCCCCCATTGTTCGGCCGGCCGAGGGGCCGGTTCACCACTTCCCCTGATTTTCTCCAGGACGGGCTGGAGAGGGCCGACAAGCCGGCCAGGCACATCCTGTGTTTGTGTTTGCGGGAGGGCTGGGCCGGGAACCTCCGATGGGGCGGCCCCTGCAGGGCCCACCCCGGCGTGAGGACGAGGCGCCTGCCGGGGGGGGGGGCCATTGTCCCTCCCGTCCGCTGGGCCTGCCCCCCTGCTGCCCACCTGCGGCCAGCGCTGGGTGGCGGGGTCACGGGAGATGCCCAGGAAGTCACCCAACTGAGCGGCCTGAGCCTAGTGACAGAGGCTCACAGAGGGCGGGGTCAGCCCCCCACCCCCGCCCCGCCCCGGCCAGGTCCAGGCAGGGCCTTCCGCTTCTGAGGCCGGACATGTGTGCAGGTGGGCCACCCCCAGGGTGCAGGACGGGGAGGTCCTGCCAGGCCGCGGACCCTCCCCGCCACTGGAAGGCCCGAGGAGGCTGGGTCGTGGAGAGTTCCAGAGCCTTCCGAGACCGTGGCTGACACCGAGACCCACAGCGGGCGGGCAGCAGCCTGTCTTCCCGGGGCGTCATTGTCCACGGCGGGCCCATGGGAGGTGGGGGGGGCAGCCCCTGAGGGCCCAGCTCCCATCTGTCCATCAGGGGGCACGGGAGGGCACCTCACAGGGGTGGCAAAGCCCAAAGCCAGGCCACCTGGGCAGAGCCGGCCGCCCGGGACACAGGTGGCCTGGGCTGCAGCGGGCAGGTGCCACTGTCCTTTCATTCCCCCCTCCCGGGTGTTGCATCGTAACCAGTTGGCTGTTCCCGCCTCGCACCGTGAGGGGCTCCGGCCGTAACAGAAGCCCTTCCCGTTCAGGCCCCCCCCCCCGGGCTCCCGTAGGGCCGGGCTCCCAGTGGGCACCCCCGGGGCAGCCCCCCCACCTGGGGAAGGTGCTGCTGAGGCCTCTGCAGCCCCACCCTCACCTCCCCTCCCCTGTCCCCAAGCCCCCAGGACACAGGGGCAGGCACAGTCTGACCCTAACTCTGCCCCCTATGTGGGAATGACCAAGGCCACGCTCCCCTCTTCCGAGCAGGCCCTTGGCATCTCCAAGGAGCAGAGAGGCAGCTCCCTTTGGCCACCGCACCGTGTCCTGTGCCTTGTGACACTGGCACTGTCACCTCCACCCTTCAGTTGGCGAGGTCTGGACTCAGGCTGTTGAATTCTGGTCATTTGCCTGCAATTACAACCTGCTGCCACTAGGTGGTGGTGCCTCAGGCAGTGATTTCAGGTTATAACCTGAGATGCGGGTAGCTGTCTCGATTTTCCAAGACTCGAAACAAAACAAAACAAATAGATATAACTTTGTCTTTAACCCAAACTAGACCTGGAGGTGGGCCGGGCAGGGGTCAAGCCAGCGGGGCGCTGCTGGCCCAACAGGAGGGGGTGTGGACTCGCAGGAGCCCACCCCACTATGGCCCCGACACCAGGAGCGGGGCTGGCGCTGAAGGCCGGTTCCAGCTCCCGCAGGCTGGGCCCTGGACTGTCCCGGGGTCCCGGGGAGGGCGAGCAGGGCTGGCCGCAGTGGTGGAAGGGCCCGCCCAGGGGCCGAGGAGAGGCCCGGCTGTCTGTCCCAGTGACGCCCCACGGACGTGCTGCCACGGAGACACCCGCCCCCGATGCCCGTAGGGGAGGGGGCCTTGCTCTTCAAGGGACGGGGTGGCTCAGGGGGCCTCCCGCCTGTCCCGTTCCCGTGCCGGCAGATGTCAGCCATCGAGACGATGACGGAGAAGCTGGAGAGCTTCGCGGCCCTGAAGGCGGACTCCGGCGGCGCCCTGCAGCCCCTCCCCCACCACCCCTTCAACTTCCGGTCCCCGCCCCCGACGCTGTCGGACCCCATCCTCAGGAAGGGCAAGGAGCGGTACACGTGCAGGTGAGACGTGCGAGCCCCGGGGGCGGGGGGTGGCCCTGGGGACACGGGCAGCCCGTGAACCCGCCCTTCCAGGAGAACTGGGGCTCCGCGTCCAGCACCGCAGGGATAGATGGTCCACGACCACGCAAAACATGCGTGTTAGGGATGGGACCCCCCCCACTGAGCTCCGTTCACGTGAGCTCGGGAAATGCCGCCTCGGCCTGACCAGCCAGGACTCGAGGCCCGGGGCCGGGGCGTGCTGGTCGGCGCAGAACCGGGGCGCTGGGCGGGGACCGACTCTCAGCTTTGGGAAGAGACCGCTGTGCCTGCCCCCCGCCGCCCCTGCCCGGCTGAGCCCGTCCCAGCCGGCTCAGCACCCCGGGGCTCCCGGGCGGAGACGATCCTGGAGGAGGGGCAGGGCCCGACAGGGCCCGAGGAGGACAGTCCATCTGCAAAGCTTAGCCGGGCGCGGGGGGGGGGCGGAGGGGGGCGAGGCAGGAGACGTTGAAACCCGGGCTGTGTCGCCCGCCGGCCGCCTGCCCCGGGGGGAGGACCTCGGGGACTAGATGCAGCGTTGGCAGTGAGTGGGGGCTGTGCCGGCACGGCTCTGCCTGACAGCCGCCCCCCGCCCCCGCCAGGTACTGCGGGAAGATCTTCCCCCGGTCCGCAAACCTCACGAGACACCTGAGGACGCACACCGGCGAGCAGCCGTACAGGTAGGAGCCCGCCCCCCGGCGTGGGGATGGGCGGCGAGGGTCCTGGCCGCGGTAAGGGCAGCCGGTGGGAGCCAGCACACTGCTCCCTGTCACCCCTGTCACTCCCTGGGCCCCTCCCCCCACCCCCACCGCCATCCTGTGCCCGGGGATGCCACAAAGATTAGGCAGGAGGTGCCCAGCCGGCCTCCGGAAATCCCCCACCTGCCCACAGAGGGTGATGCCCAGAGCACCCTCCCCACTGCTCGGGGGTGTCCCCTGGGACAGGAGCTCAGAGCACGGTCAGCTGGAAGCCAGGGTCCCGAAGGTGGCCTGTTGGAGAGGCCTCGGCTGCTCCCCCAGGGCGGCCGGCCGGTCGGCCCCTAAGGCAGGGCAGACAAAGGACGGGGCTCTGTGCAAACGCAGGTCCCAGCCCAGGCTTGGGGCGCCGGAGGGGTTCGCTCGGCCCCCTCGACAGCCCCGGACGGCAGCCACGTGACTGCTCCCCGCCTCTCCCGCAGGGCCGGGGCGGCGGGGCGGCCACACAGGCCATCGGTGGTGGGAGAGCCACCGCTCTGCCACCGCGTTTCTCGTGTGCAACAAGGGGACGCGAGCCCCGTTTCAAAGACTGGGCACCGGAGGCTCAGAGACTCCCGTGACTGGACAGGGGTTCCCACCCGGTGTGGCTCTCGCTGACCCGGCTGGCCCTGCTCCCGTGGTCTCTGGGGTCTCCACGGGGCACGGGAAGGGCTGAGGACAGCCCCTGGCACTCAGAAACCCTGCCAGGGAGGGGCCTGGCAGTGGACGTTTTCGATGACAGCCTCAGGTGACAGCGGCCCGGAGGCACACCGGGGAGACGCTGGTCTGGGTGCCCAGAGGTCCTCCTGGGAGGTGGCTGGGGAAGAGCCGCCACAGGGGGGGCGAGGGGTCTGGCGTGGTTTCCGGTTGGGGACATGAGGCCCCAGTCGTGGTCATGCTGAGCTTGGGGTCACCCACTGGCCCTCGAGACTCTGCACGTGTGTGTCCCCCACCTTGGGGAGGGTGCCCACACGGGGCCCCTGCAGGCATGGTGGTCCCTACGCCCACCTGAGGCGTAAAGAGCGTCCCCGACCCTCACAGGGCGGCACCCCGGCCCCCGGCCCACCCCCCGCAACAGTGACTGACAACACAGGCGAGCCCCCCCAGCGGCTTCGGCCCCCTCCCCGCCTGCCGCGTGTGCTTTCTGTAACGAGAGCCGGCTTCTGGACACAGTCCCACGGAAGAGCCCCCGGGGCCCGGCGTGTTTATAGAAAAATGTGATTATCATTGATTTCTTTTGTTCTCCCCAATGCGCGAGGCTCAGCTACGTGCGTAAGGCCGATTGCTCTGAGAGCTCACCCGGCAGACCCGGCCCCCCGGCCCCGGGTGGCCCTGTGAGGCGGCCTCTGGGGGGGGGGGTGACGCCCCCGTGACGTCACCGGGGGCCCCGCCGACTTTGATTGCTGGAAGGATTTGAGTTGGGAAAGGGAAATGCGCAGATTTCGTTCGCAGAGACCCACCGACGAGGGGGACCCCCGCCCCCGGGAGGCCAACGAAAGCGCCCGCCCACCGCCTGCTTGCGTGAGCGGCGCCCGCCCCGGGCCAGCACCTGCCGCTGCGTGGGGGCCGGGGAGGCCGGCCAACGCCCCTCCCCCACTCCGGGCGGGCGGGCTTCTCCGGGGCTGCCCGGCCACCACCCAGTGATCGAGTTCGCCCTGGTCGCCTAAGATCACTCAGAAAGTGTCCCCAAGCCTGTCACTCCCTGGGAAGGAAAGACACTTCAGTGTGACTGACACACTTGCTGGGTGGGGGGGTTGAACCTCCGGCTCCAGAGCCGCCGGCTCCTCTGGGCCCGGAGGGAAGGGGGTGGGGGGGGCAACCAGCAGACAGTGCTCGCTGCTCAGGGGAGCAGGGCCCGCTGCGCGGAGGCTGGGGGGAGACCGCTGAGTGAGGGCTGAGGGGCGTCTCTGCCTCCATCCATCTGGGCGGCCATGCTGGGGGGCCTTCAGGGAGGGGCGTCCGGCGGGGCCTCGAGCCTCCGTGGGCCGGCCCGCGGGCTCCTGGCGGGACCTGGGCTGCCGCCCCGGGACTCACGCCTCTCCAGCTTCGCTCCGGCCCCTCCGGGGCACCCAGGCTACCATTTGCTTTAAGCCACGCCCCCATGCCAGGCCCATGCCTGCCTGCTTGCTCTGTCCGTTTTATTTTTAGGGCCGGTGCCAAAGTCTCTCTTTCTGTCCTCTCCTTTGCGTTCACAGTCAGCAGCAGCTCCCTCCCTGTGCTGGTGCGGTCCCAGGGAGGGTGCTGCCCCCGGCCGGGCCGGTCAGCCTCCCCTGCCCCATGCAGCGCCCGCCGTGGCTGGCTGCCCCAGTGGTCACAGCAGGGCCCCCGGCAGGCCCCCAGCCGCCCACCACCGTGGCCGCCCATCGGTGCCCCTGGTCAGAGCGCAGCGGCGTTACGCTAGACGGTGCGGCCGTAAATTCCCGTTGCCACCTGCCAGCTTACGTGCAGCGCGAACCCCAGCTGCTCGCAGACGCCGCTCCCCCCGGACCCGCGCTCCCCCGAACCTCGAACAGGCCTGTCTGCCCAGGCCGTTTGTTTGGAGTGGAACCCGGGAGGGCCGCACAGAGGCTGGGGGGGGCTTCGCACGCGCCCTGCCCTCCGCGTCCAGCTCCCGCGCTGCCCGACGCTGCCCGGAGCCCGGCTGCTGCGAGCTGGCCAGCCGCCCTGAGGGGAGTTGTCGCAGGGGGCGAGGACAGGAACGCCGCGCCTGTGGGCGCACTGTAGACCGGGGGCGGGCGCAGCTCAGCCGGAGGCGCCTGTTGGGTGGGCGGGTGGTGAAGGCCCAGAGCTGGGCTGGGGCCCGCGTGGCCTTGCCCTTTTCCTCAGCGGCGCCCCTGAGGAGCAGGGCCATAGCAATCTGGGGGCGTGACATCGTCAGGGCAGAGGGGACAGTGTCCCCTCTGATAGAAGTGCGGGTAACCAAGATCACCTGTGTGTGCCCGTGCACACGTACCACACGTGTGTACACACCCACCGCATGTGTGCGTGAGCATGTGTGTGCACATGCTGTCACATACTTGTGCCCGTGTGGCCCATGTGGGCACGTTTGTGGGCGCACACCAGCACACTAACACATGCATTTGATGTGCATGCCCCTGCACACACCCACACACATGCATGTGCACACAGGCACATGCAGTGCACACTAGCATGTGTGTACCATGTGCACATGCACCGATGCATGTGCTGCACGCACACCACACTGTGCACTCCTACACGCAGTGTGTTCCCACATGTGCACACTAACATGCACTGTGTGTGCGTTCCCCTGCACACATACATATACACGTGTGTGTGTGTGACCTACCAGCCGGCACACAGAACGGGTGGGAGCATGGGAGCGGGCGGTCCCTGGCTCTGCTAGGACCCCTGCCGCCAGGAGGAGGCCGAGGGGGCGGGTTGCAGGCTCCTCCGGGTCGGCCCTCCCTCGGGCTCGGCCCTCCTTGCTCCTGGCTCCTCCACGCCGGGATCGCTGGGCCCGGCTCCCGTCCCCCTGCACTCTCAGGGGTCCGGAGAGGGGCCGTGTCGTGCCCTGGGCAAGGGTCCCACGCTTGCGGGGGCCCGCCACACCGCAGGCATCTCCGATTGTTCGTCACGGCTGCTTGTTCAGATGAACCTGGGGCCTCGAGAGGATGTTCTGGCAGACGTGACCGAAGCCTGGGCAGGAAGGGGCGTCTCCTGATCTTCCCGCTGCACTGGCGGGCTGGTAGCGGTGCCCGCCTACAGCGGCTCACAGATGAACCGAGCCCGTGGGCCGGCCACCCCCGTGCCCCCGGGGACACTGGGGTCATTGTGGTCCCTGTAGAAGACGCACCCTGACAGGGGCAAGGCCTGGGAGCCGCTGCGTCCCCGGGGGCCTCCGGGGCTGCCCCCACACCCCCCACTCATGGACTGGCACGCTGAGGTCCCCAGGGGGTGGGTGCAGCCCAGGGACCACGAAGACCCCGCTCCCCTCACTCTCCCGCACCAGGCCGGGTCTCTGCAGGGAGGGCAGTAGCAGGGAGCCGGCCGGGGTCCCCAGCTTTCCGGTTGGCCTGAGCATCTTTCCACGGTGAGATGCTGCCCCCTTGCGGCCGCTGGGAGCACGTCGCCGTCCAGGTGGAGCTGCGGGAGGGCCCGACACGGGGAGGAAGAGAGCCTCGGGGCGCGGGGTCCTGCCGGCCCGCGTGGGGCTCCTCTGAGGCCCGGGTGTCTTGCAGGTGTAAGTACTGCGACCGGTCCTTCAGCATCTCGTCCAACCTGCAGCGGCACGTCCGCAACATCCACAACAAGGAGAAGCCCTTCAAGTGCCACCTGTGCAGCCGCTGCTTCGGGCAGCAGACCAACCTGGACCGGCACCTCAAGAAGCACGAGCACGAGCACGCACCAGGTGGGGCCGCGCACGCCTCCCCCAGGGCGGGCCGCCGGGCTGGGGGCGCAGGCGCCGCGGGCGGGGGCGGGGACTTGAGAGACTGGGCTGGTGGGGGAGGGGAGGAGGAAGGGCCGGGAGGGGAGGGGGAGGGGGAGGGGGAGGGGCGGCGCGCAGTGGGGAGGGAGCCGTCCCGCTGAGGCCCCCCTCTGACCCCCCGCCCACGCCCACGCAGTGAGCCAGCACTCCGGGGTCCTCGGCAACCACCTGGGGACCAGCGCCTCCTCCCCCACCTCCGAGTCGGACACCCACGCACTTTTAGACGAGAAGGAAGACTCCTATTTCTCCGAAATCAGAAACTTTATTGCCAACAGCGAGATGAACCAAGCGTCGGCTCGGACAGACAAAAGGTAAGACGCCCACCCAGGCGGGGCTGCGGGGCTGCGGGGCTGCGAGGTCGCACAGCCCGGCCCTGTGGCTGACCCCAGAGCAGGCCGACCACCCGGCACCTGCCCCCCAGGTGCGCCTGGCCGGGGACCAGGGTCCCACAAGGGCACCCCTCCCTGCCTCAGTTTCCCCATCTGGACACGGTGCCGATGCGGGTTTGCGCCTAAAGCGGCGCCGGGCACTCACGCCTCACGGCAGCCGGTGCAGCTCAGCCTTGACATTCCCACGATGCAACCAAATGTCAGCCGCGCAAGGGCTCCCGCCGCGGGCCCGCCAGCCTCCGAGTCTCGAGGTTTCCGAACAACAGTGGTGCGCCTTCAAACCCACGCATGAGTGCACACGCGCACGCCAGCACCCGCAGAAATACCGTGGGATTCAGACGCGAGAAGGGGGAGGCCATTCCGCACCACCTCGGGTCCCGGGGCCGCCGCCCCCCAGGAGGACCCGCCAGGCCCCGGGACGGGTTCCCTTCGGGAGCAAGCTGGTGCCAGACCAGGGGTCAGCCTCCAGGGCGCCCGAGGGGTGCAAGCCCCTGATTCTGCAGAGGGGGACGCCGAGGCCCAGAGGAGTGGGGTGCCTTGTACCCCCCATCCCCCCCAACAAGTGAGGAGGGTCCCCAGGAGATGGGGTCCCTGGGAGCCTGCCTACCCCTCTGGGTCACCGGTGCTCCCGGGGCGCAGGGCAGCCCCCCTTAGAGAGCCTTCGGGGTTCAGGCAGCATGGGCTCCGCCTTCAGAGGAAGTCCCAGGCCAGAGCACCCCGGTGCCAGGCTGCATCCAAGCCCCACTCCCCAGCTGGCACCCTGTGCCCACAGCAGAGCCACACACATGGCGGGGGTGGACCAGCCCGTCTTCTCTGGGTTGGAGCTGCCCGTGGGGGAGGGCCCAGAGGCACCAGAAAGGCCCCCCCACCCCAAATCTGGCGGCAGGCTGGCTGTCAGCCAGGAGGAAGACATTCCAGGAGGCCCACCAGGACGGAGGGGACGCTGCCACCCTGTCCCCTGACCTTTGCCTGCAGTGTTCCTGCCAGGGGAGGGGCCCGAGTGAGGCTCAGACACGGGAGGCTGCCCCGAGTCCCCGGGGAGCTGGGCCCGTGGACGGCCCGTCCTGCTGAGGCCTGGTCCAGGGTGCCCGGGCACCTGGCAGGGGCGCCCCCGTCACTGGCGGAAGTGGGCACCGAGGTCTCGGCCCACTTATGTCACAGACTGTGTGTGTGTAGGGCTGGGCCCCCGGCAGCTCCGCCCGGGCCGGGTCACCACGGTCGGTGCTCACTCGGTTCCCTTCCCTCGACCACCGCGGGGAGCTTAGGGCCCGCCAGGCTTCCCGGCCTCACGGCCCCTTGAACCCGGGGGGCTAACGCGTGTCCCTGCCCAACCCCCGTGGTGGAGTCCCAGCCCCCGAGACCTCAGGATGTGACCTTATTTGGGAAGACGTGGTCATACCGGAGCTGGGTGACCCTGACCCCACACGACCGGGTCCTTACAAGAGGGGACATTCAGACACAGACACACACACGCAGGGGGCACGCCGCGTGAAGACGACGCAGGGGTGGGCTGAGGGGTCCACGAGCCAGGGGACGCCCAGGAGGCCGGCAGCCACCAGGCACTGGGGGCGGCCTGGGGCGGGGGCACCCTCCCGGCTGCAGAGGGGCCAGCCCCTCTGTGACACCCCGACCTTGGACTGCATCTCGGGAACTGGGAGCGGAGACCCCGCCGTCAAAGCCCTGGCCGCCCCGGGACACGCGTGCACACGGGCAGCCGTCCGGAGGCCTGAGCACCCGTCCCGGGTCCGCTCTGTCGGAAGCCGTCGCCAGCCTCTGGGCCCCACGTTCCGCCTGCCCCGGGGGCCCCCCTCCCCGAGCGCCCGCCTGGTGCGGGGCTCCTACCGATGGGCTAGGCGTGGGGGCGGGGGCACACAAAGATGGAACCATCGGGGCCCTGTCCCCCAGCAGGGGGCTCACACGTGAAGCGGCCCGTGTTCAATTAAAGGACACACGAGACTACATGCCAAACGTCACCCACGTCCCAGCACCCACGGCCGCTGCTCGTCCTCGGCGCGGAGCGGTGTCCTCGGGTCACCGCGAGGGCACAGGCTCCCAGAGGCTGAGACCCTCCCCCAGGTCACCCCACGGATAGCCAGCCGGCAGGGAGACAGGGCCTGGGCCCGTATCGCCCGCTGGTGGTGACAGCCGCGAGCCTGGTGCCCAGTGCAGGGACCCGGGACAGGGAGGGCGGCCGCAGGGACAGTGTCCTGTCCCCCGGGCAGACGGGAGCCGAAGACGGGCGGGCCCGAGCCCAGCGCCCAGCACGAGGACGAGTCCTGGGAGTCGGAGAGGACGCCCACCCTGCCGACGCCGAGAAGGGGCCCCGGGCCCCCCCCCCCGACCACGGTGGGCGGCCCCCCGTGGGCTGCGGGAGCTCCAGGAGGGGTGAGACCTGGGGCTCGGACGAGAACCGGGGTTCCGGCAGGAGGGAGCTCGGCGAGCACTCCACGTGGACGCCTGCCCGGGCGGCCCCCATGCCCAGCCCGCCCCCCACGGACGTGCCGATGAACAACGCTCATGCCGGCGGCGCTTTCTGGAGGCTGCGGTGCACCCACACCCGCCGGCACGCTTCCTCGGCCTTTCAGTGGCGAGGACCCGGAGCGGAGGGGTCTCACCTGGGCTGCGGGGGCCCGGAGGGCACTGCAAGTCAAGGACCTGGCCCCCGAGACAAGTGGGGCCTGGAGGGCCCTCGGCTGACAGCGGCCCGGCCCGGCCTCTGAGGAGCCCCAGGCCCTCTGGCCGTCGAGGCAGCGGCTCGCCCTGGGCCACCCCAGGGTCCTTGCGTCCTCCGGGCTGGTCAGAGGTGCTGCACCCGGCAGGGCTGGGCCAGCAGACCTCCCTAAGACGTCCTTTGTGCAGCGCCCAGCCCCGGCTCCAGCCCAGGACCCCATGCCCCGCCCAGTTGGCCACAGCGCCCCTGACACACTGACCCGTGTGGCCCCGTGTCCGCTGCGGCATCACAGAGCCTGCCCACGCCCTGCCACACGCATGGCCAGCCTCCTCCTCTCCCTGCACCACTCGGCCCACAGGGACAGGCTGAGGCCAAGGGCAGGGGCAGCCCACGAGGGCAGGCTCTCTTCGTGGGAGCCGGGAGGGCCGGGGAGGCTAGGGGTGGGGGGACCCGGCTGCGGCCGAGTCGCCAGCCTGTGGGGCCCGTGGCCGACTCGCGCCCTGTCGCTTCAGGCCAGAAGCCCAGGAGCTGGACGGTGCCCCACCATGTCCGGGCCTAGCCAGCGGGAAGCCGGAGGAGGGGGAGGAGGAGGAGGAGGAGGAGCTGGAGGAGGAGGACGACGACAGCCTGGCCGGGAAGTCCCAAGAGGACAACGTGTCCCCCACGCCCGAGCCCCAGGGCGCCTACGAGGACGAGGAGGACGAGGAGCCACCCACCTCCCTGGCCGTGGGCTTCGACCACGCCCGAAGGTGGGTGCCGCCGGCCTCGGCGGGCCATGGCGGGGGCAGCTGGGCGAGCCGGGCCGGCCTCGGAGGGACCCAGACGCCAGCGGGTGGCTCAGGCTGAAATCCGCAGAGGACCCGCCGTCCTGCCCGCCCACAGGCGGTTCCGCCGGGGGAGGCCCCAGCCCGGGGAAGCGGCCAGGGCCCAGCCCGTGCACGCACACAGACACCTGCACACACCTGCACACACCTGCACGTGTGCGTGCATGCCCGTGCGCACATCTAGAAGCCTGGGAGCAGTGTGGGAGGGGAAGGCGCAGGGTGAGCTGGTCCCGGACCCTCAGGCGGAGCCACACTGCCCGTCAGCCTGGGGAGTGACCCCCAGCCTCCCACAGGCCCCGGCACAGGGCTGAACCCCCACAGCTTTGGAAGCTGTGCCGGCCGGAGACTCGCCCCCACACCCCACGCGCTGGCCGCCTCAGCAGCCACAGTGCCAGCGTTCCGAGAGCCCCCGGGGAGCCCCCTTGGCGACAGCTGTTCCCCCCACCCCTGGGACAGGGGCCCTCAGGCCCCTCTAGAGCCGCCCAGGGTCTTGGAGACCAAGGCCTCCCCCTCTGTTCTTGTCCCCGGGGACCCGGGCTCCCTGCCTGTTGCTTGGGACACGTGTGCTCACACTGACCCCTGAGGTCCTCTGTCCGTCGGTTTCCTGCATCTGTGTGGTTTCTGTCCTGGTGTCCATGTGTCTGTGTGTCTGTCTCCTTGTGCATGTGGCCAGTGGAGATGCTGTGGCATGCATGCGGGCGCGGAGCCGGCCGCGGGGCGCCCGCGAGGCGGCGGGGCGGCCGGGCTGACCGCAGGCGTCTCCCGGTCGTTGGTGCAGGTGTGTTGAGCGGCAGCGAGCGGGCGGTCCGCTCGCTCTGGAGCCGGCGCCGACCTTTGGGAAGGGGCTGGACCTGCGCAGAGCCGCCGAGGAGGCGTTTGAAGTTAAAGATGTCCTTAATTCCGCCTTAGACTCTGAGGCCCTAAAACAGACCCTGTACAGGCAGGCTAAGAACCAGGTAGGTGCCCGCAGAGCCCGCCCCGCCCGCCCCGCCAGGCCAGATGGCAGGGACAGCCTCTCCACGCCCACCTGGGGGGCACACAGGGCCCCCTGGCCCTCCCGGGCCCATTGCCTCGGCCAGAGGGACATCCCAGGGACCGCCTCCTCCCTGCCAGCAAGAAGGGGGCAGGGAGAGGCTGAGAGCAGAGGGCCGTGAGCCGGAGCGCTTGGGGGCATGGGAGTCACTGAGCTCTCGTCCCCAGAGGGAGGCCTCCACGCACAGGTGTCCGGCACGAGGCTACCTTGGCCTCCCCCGGAGACCCCGCCAGGGCGGCTGGCAGCCCAGCTTGCCCTGCAGGGGGCTGCCCGGCAGGAGGGCGCTGGTCCTGAGCTGGCGCTGTGGCGGGGCCAGGCGGCAGCGAGCTGGGCCCCGGGCACCTCTCGTCTCCCGCCTGCTTCCCCGGTGTAGGCGGCCGCAGGGCTCCGCCGCCCGGTCCTGTCCGGGCTGGGGGGACAGGGAGCTCTCCGCAGCCCACCCAAGTCTGAGCACCCGAGCAAAGCCGTCTGTGTGTCTGTCTGTGTGTTCTTACTAATTCTGTCCTGAGTGTTCACTGGGGTGGGGCGAGGGGCCGGCTTTCCCCCCAGCCCCGCCGGCCGCGGTGGCCCGTCCCCTGGTCACACTCCGGGCCGGTTCCCAGTCCTCCCCGGAGCAGCTCTGCCTGGTCCCACGGTGGTCCACCCCGGCGGCCCCGGGCAGGGACCGACCCTTGTGGATGGGGTCTCGGCAGGGACCACCGGCCATACCCAGGTCCCCCCAAAGCGCATGCTTGCCCATACGTGTTTGCCGAGCACCAGGCGGAGAAACGGGGCGGGGGTGGCCAAGGGGGAGGTGACCACGGGGCGAGCACCCCGAGGACCAGGGAGCCCCTCAGCCGGGGCCAGGGCATCCCGGCTGCCCTCTGCTGTCCTTCTGTCTCCCTCCCCCAGGCCGGGCGGGGGGCGTCTGGCCTCTGCTCGGGGTCCCGGCACCTCACTGTCCCCTCCCAGCCGGGGCCTGGTCTGAGCGGGCGGAGGGCAGCGGGAGGCTGGGGGCCGGCGAGCACGCGGCCAGCCCAGGGCCTGCGAGGCCCCGCGTGCACCGCTCACCTGCCTGTCTGTCCCGTGTCCCCCGCCAGGCGTACACAATGATGCTGTCCCTTTCGGAGGACACGCCTCTGCACACCGCCGCCCAGAGCCCCCTGGACGCTTGGCTGAACATCGCGGGACCCGCCCCCGAGCCCGGAGCCTTCAACCCCATCAACCACCTCTGACCGGCCCGGGGGCCGGGGCCAGAGCCCGCGCCAGGAGCCCGGCGCCCCGACAGAACCCTCAGCCGCGGACGGTGGGGGCCAGGACTCGGGGACCAGCACGGCCTGGGGCCGGGGAGCCCCCTCCTCGCCTGCGTTCGACCACTCCTCTCTGTGTGTCCCCCCACCCTGGTTTAACTCAACTCTTCTAGCGAAAACCCGGAGACCGGAAGCCCCTGACGCGGTTGTCTAGGTCACGCCTCTGAGAGTCAGTCTCCAGAAGGACACCGCGCCTGGCAGGGACGGCCTGGCGGCATGGAGCCCAGGGGCACGGGCGGGGTTCTCACCCCAAACTGAAGCGGGGTCCCTTCCGGGCACGGGAGCCCACGGCCACGGTCCGGAGAGGGAGCCGGCCCGGACGATTTTTCTAGTGAGAATCACGCGAGTGACGCTTTTGGTCCTCCTGTTGACGCCAGAGTCTATTTAAGCATGTGGTTTTAAAAACAGACAGCATTTTTTTAAAAAAAAGAAAAAGAAAGGAAAAAAGAAATCGCAAAAGGATTTGCCAATTGTTTTTTAAAAGTCGTTTTTGCATCGCTTTGGCATCTGTGCAAACCCAGACGCCCCCCCCGGGGGCCCCCCCCCGGCTCTGTGCTGGGCGCGGCCTGGATCCTGCGGACCGTGGGGGGGGTGCCCCCGACCCCGTGTGTGAAGCCACGGTGGCTCCAGCGGGCCCCCACCAGCCCGCGGCGTGGGGCCACTGCCGGGAGCCGTTTCTGACTGCACCGAGGATTCTGAGAGGTGGCGGCAGCGGCAGCGGCGGTGGGAGCTGGCCGGAGGCCAGGACCGGGAGATGTGCCTGACCTTCCGTGACACTCCTGCGCCCGTGGCCCCCGAGCAGCCCCTCCCTAGACCTCCCAATTCTCTGGGCAGGTCGGAGAGGTGGGCCGGGCCGCTCAGGTTCCTCCCGGGTCTGTCTCTGGCCGCCCCGGGCCAGCACCCACCCCCACCCGCCCCGCCACTGCTGCTGCTCAGAAAGCAGAGCTGGCCGCCGCCGGCCACACCCTGCTCCGCTGCCCCCGCCTCACCCTCCCCGTCAGACGAGCCAGGGGAGGCGGCGGGCGCCCCCCACTCCCCGCGCAGACCGCCGAGCGCCCCGAGCACCCGAGCCCTGGGACCCCGGACACGGCTGCCGCCCCCGCCCTCCGCGCGGGCTCTGGGCGGATGGGACCCGGCTCAGCACCGAAGGGCGTCCGGACGGGACCTGGACGCCTGGACGCCCGCTGCAGAGCCCGAGGACAGCACAGCCCCGCGGGGCCGGCGTGCCCCTCCCCGGGGGCCGGCCCGCTTCTCCACTCCCGGGCTTTAAATTATTCCCGTAGGGGCCAACCTCCCATAATAATTGTTTTCCCTGATGGAATTGACCTTAATCTGTATATAACTTGTAATTTTTTCTAATTCCTTTCTTTTCTTATTTTATTTCTTCCTTAACAGTATTTTTGGCATTAGACATTCTTATTGTGAAGAAATAATGTTAATATAAGTACCCCGTGAAGGACCAAAACCGTGTAATAACCGTCTGTGTGTTGTGTGCCCGAGACCCAGGGAGTGGGACGGTTCCCAATGTGCCAAATACCCCCGCGCCCCCCCACCCCCCCACGCATTCTGCCGCCGCCGCCGACGCCCGTCTCCCAGACAATCACGTGTTTTGTTAAATCTGAGTTTCGGTTGTATCGCATTTAAGGACAAGTGTTCTATTTATTTCTTTTATCGCTTGGCAGAAAACGGAGTCATAGTGTCCCAGCGAGAGAAAAAAAGCGTCGCCCAGGTTGCCCCGACCCACCGTGACTGCAGACTGTGTGGGTCGTGTCTGCTGGGGGCCGCGTCCTCGGCTCCCGCCCTGGGGTGGCTGGCAGGCGGGAAGTGTCCCCGCCGGGGTGTCGCCCCACATGCGCGTCACGCTGGCTCCGGGCCCCCGTCATCCACGCGGGCCGCGGCGGGGGGTCCAGCCTCGCCCTGGAGACCCCCAGTGGGGAGGCCCCTGCAGGCACCCCAGCCTGCGGGTCCCGGGGGAGGGGCTCACCTCCCTTCTCCAGCCCACACGAGGGAGCCGGACTGAGACCCACCCCGGCGTGTGCCGGCGGTGGCCCCCGGGGGCTGCCGGGAGGAGCCGCCTGCGGCCTCTGCACGCGGGTGTGCCGACACGCCCTCTCACTCCTCTGCACGAGCATCGGCTCCTGTCCCTCAGCCGGAGCTGCCAGGCGCGGCTCCGGACGCCCACCTTCCCCTCGATCTGGGTGGGATCCCTTTGAAAAGGCAACCCCAGATCAAAGCGCCCCATCTCTGTAAACCCAAATTACACGATTTCTTCTGCTAAAGAGTAAGGTGTGTGCTTTCTTTCGCGATAGGGCTCCGTCTGAAATGAGCAGTTGGGGCGGGAGGCACCTGAGTGGCCAGGGCTGCCCTCACTGTCCACCCCCCCGCCGGGTCTCCGTCGATGGTCCTGTCTGTCATCCCAGCCAACCCTCCCCCCCCCCGAGCTTCTGTTTCTTCCTCTGCCCTTCCCCAGGAGCCCACGCTCCAATGCCCACACATCTGTCCCCCTGAGAGCAAGCCCAGGGTCGGGGCCGGAGCACTCGGCAGGTTGGGGGGCCCCATCCTTGGCCCCCCGGTAGAATGCACTTATTCCCCTGTCCCGTGCATCCGGCCGGCGTTGCCTCAAAGTGCAGCGAGCCCCGGAGTGCAGCGGCCCCCCTCCGGTTCCCCTGGGCCCCGGGCTCAGCACCGGCCCGCTTGCCCGGGCCCAGGTCTTCGATGTCGGTGCCAGCCGGTGCCAGCCTGTGCCGGGTGACCCCTGGGGCCCGGGAATCTGGCCAAGCCAGACAATCCCGCGATCTCAGCCTCTGCACCAGCACGCCAGGGTGGCCGGCCGGCTGGCTGGCTGGCCAAATGCTGTTTTCATGGGCTGGGACCCGCGGGTCCCATGGCACCAGGTCTGCCCAGGGCCCGGGCCCGTCGGTCCAGCCGCACCTGCTTCCCGCACCTGGACAGTTGACACTTGCCCCCCAAGAGGAAACAGAGAGAGAGGCCTCCTCCCTCCGGCACCCCTCAGACCCCGGCCCCAAGCAGCGGGCACCTTCGCCCCTTGCCACGCAGATTCCCAGGACCCCGGGCCAGGACGCATGGAGGGGCTGCTGACCCCTTGGCCAGCCAGACACTTCAGGAGTGGGACCCAGAGGCCCCCCAGCTCAAACCCGGGGTGCACGTCTCTGCAGCTGGCCCAGCACCCTGGAGTGTGCATCTGTGCACGGGCGAGCCCGAGAGCCCGCCCAGCCCAGCCACGTGCCCCCTCCTCCGCCCCCCCCCCCCCCGCAAGGCCAACAGCACAGCCAGCCCGCCCGGCAGGGCCTGATGGCCTCCCAGCCCCGTGGCCCCAGAGCCCGGCCACGGAAACTCGAGACCCTCAGCCTCCTCCGTTCTCGCTGCTTCCTCGGCGAGCGACCCCACAGCACTTGCCGAAACACATATCACGTGTGTTAGCCTCGAAGCACTGGATTGTGGTCCCCCACCCCCCTCCCCCGCCCATGTGACTGAAATCTACTGAGCTGTCTTCACTGCGCTGTCCTGGGGGAGGGGGACAGCGCCACCTGCAGAGCGCGCCCCTGCACTGCCGCCCGGGGATGGACCGGGAGCCGCGCACCCCCCTGTCCCCACGGGGGCCGAGGACGCAGCTGCTCCTGGTCAGTGGAGGCCAGCCGGGTATCGAAAGCCATGTAACTGTCTCTGCAGCCACGAGTGATACTGTGACTGAGACGTTCTCGCGTTATTCCCAGGAGCGTTCCTTTCCTCCTCCCATTCCAGTGTCTCGGTTGTATCCCTTTCTGTCACTGACTCGTAGTACCACTTCCGGGGGGAAATGAAAGTTAGACCGGAAAGAAAACGACAAGGCAGCTGGAGTTTCCGAATGTGCAATTTACGTGTGAACAAAGCGATGCTGAAGGTTTCCTCCCTCGGGAGGGGCGGCTGCGCCGGGCGGCCCTCGCGGACACGCGGACGCGCGGACGCGCGGACGCTGAGCCCCGAGGCCGGGACGCGCGGCTCCCCGCGCACCTGGGCGCGCGCGCGCGCGCGCGCGCGGGAGAGCGCGCACCTGGGCGCCGCGACGTCCCTCGCCGCTGTTACCTTACAGATCTGGTTGAGCTTGTTTTTGTTTTTTTTTTCTTTCAGGACTGTATAGTGTTGAAAAGGAAATGTAAATGTCTGGTTTTTATCAAATGTTTTAAAGAAAAAACCGTTAAGAAGGAGGCGGGCGTCCGTCCCGGGTCCCCAGATTGTACATTGCTCCTGTTACCAGTAAACTGTGCATGGCTGGTGTTTAGCGGTCATTATCGTGTCTGGTCGTGACGTTTTTATGAAAAAGAAAACCCCGTAGATGCACTTATGAACTGCGTGAGGAGGGCGGGCCCGCGGAGTCCGCGGCCACCGGCGCAGGGGCGGGCGGCGCCGCTCTCAGCTCCCTGGGACGTCTGGGCCCCGGCGGCGGGGCGGGGCCAGAGGAGGGGCGTGGCCGGCGGTGGGGCGGGGCCAGAGGAGGGGCGTGCCCGCCGGCGGGGCGGGGCCGGCGGTGGGGCGGGGCCAGCGGCCCGGGAGAGGACGTTTCCGCAGCTTTGGTTCGGACGCTGGAGAGCGAGACGGAAGTCCTCGTGCAGAGAACCTTCTTCGAGATGAAGCCTAGGCGACGCTGATTTTGAGGCTAATGCTGTAGGATAGGACTGCATACCAAATGTAATCGTTCCGAGGCGACAGCGACTTTATACATGAGATTGATATGCAATAAATCTGTGTGCTTTTCTAACCTCCGCGCCAGCGAGCTTCACTGAGGAAGGCAGGCCCCCGGGCGGCGCGGTCGGCTGGCGCCCAGGCTCACCAGCCTGGCCCCGGCCTCCCCGGTGACAGGTTCTGGCGCAGGGACGCCAGCCTCCCAACAGCACACCAGGCAGGGGTGGGGGGGGGGGCGCCAAGTACCTGGACAGCCCTGCAGGGAGAGCGGCAGCCTCCAGGTGCTGCGGCCCTCAGACACGCCCTCCTTCAGGTGTGGCCATCTCCAGGTGTGGATCCTTCCAGGTGTATCCGCTTTCAGGCATTCTAGCCTCAGGCGTGTCTTCCCCCAGGTGTAGTGGACACCTTCTTGGTGACACGGTGTCCCTCTGTCCCTCCTGGCAGTGGTGGGAGAGCCCACCCCGTAAGGCTGGTCCTAAACTGGCCCGTTCCCGAGGGTGGGCGCCCCCACCGGCCAGCCCTCCCCGCAGGCCCAGCCCCTCACCCTGTCCCCGCAGCCAGGGCTGAGCCTGCCCCACAGGCGATGGACAGATGGACAGATGGACAGGACAGGGTGAGGGTGCGCACATGCCTGGGCTGCAGGGGGAGCAGACCCAGCCTGCCCTGGGAGTGCCTCCCCCTGGGTCCCCAGGTGTTCCTTCGGAGAGCCCCCCACCTCCACAGGAGCTCGGCCCCCCCACCCCGATTCTGCCCTGGCCAACAGGCCTGGATTGGTGGAACCACCTAAGGCGACGGTGGGTCCAGGCCAGGAGCCACCCACAGGGAGCTCCCCAGCCCTGTCACCCACAATGTCTCCACTCTACTTCCTGCTGACACAGGCCAGCAGGTGTCACCCAGGTGGCCCTTAGGCCTGCAGGCCACTCAGCCAGCCTTGTCTACCCTATACAGGTATCCCCCACCCCGTCCTGGGCTCCACCCTGCCGCCTCCTACTGGCTGACCCCTGGCCTCTACAGCGGTGCCCCTGGCCCCTCATATATGGGTCACGTGCAGGGGCAGGCAGATCTGGAGGGGGACACACCTGGAGGAGAACACACCTGGAGGGGACACACCTGGGGGGCACACCTGGAGGGGGCACACCTGCAGGGGGCACACCTGGAGGGGACACACCTGGAGGGGCACACCTGGAGGGGGCACACCTGGAGGGGCACACCTGGAGGGGGCACACCTGCAGGGGGCACACCTGGAGGGGCACACCTGGAGGGGCACACCTGGAAGAGACTTGCCTGGAGCCCTGCTGGCTGGGGGTGGTGGGGGTCACCCCTCCCCAGCGCTTCCCCACGGTGTCGTGTTGGCAGCTCTCACGCTTCTCCAAGGGGCGTCTTCGGCAGGACATCCCGGCCAGCGTCCGGGCGGCTTTTAGGTGGCCCGACACCTGCTCATTGTCACGACCACCACTGCTGACCCGCCTGACCACTCCCACAGGTAACCTCTCACCTGCCTGACCCCCCTCAGGCCCCTGGCCTCCTCTCCCTCCACGGAGCTCCTTACCCCCTTTTGCATGCCGTCCCCACCCCCTCAAGCCACAGGAGACAGCTCCCAATCCCCGGGCTCGGGACAGCAGCCGACCCTCCCCAAGGCCACTTCCGTCCACCGGACTCAGAGGTGAGGTGGGTGGCGCCCCCCACACCCACAGGTCTGTCTGACAAGGCAGCCCCGCCCACGCCAGATGGCCTGGGGCCCTCCCTCCCCGAGCTGTGGGAGGGGCCAAGTCTCCACCCGCAGGGAAGTAGCTCCCTGCCCGTGAAGGCAGAGGGGACCCTCCTCCTGTCTGTCCCCCTGCGAGGTAGGAAGGGGGCG